TCGGGCCGTAGTTCTTTGACTCTGACCGCAATATCGCGAAGTTGACCTCCAACACGAGCTCCGACCGAGGTCTCGTCATCAAGCGGAGACCGTGTCGAAGCCGAGTCTTGGTGGGCCGGAAGATGTCTGACAAGATGCACTAGAATCTCAATATACCACTCAAAGTCGGTGATGTTGGCGTAGGTATTGTGAGAACACATGTCGAGAATCCTGCTGATGATTTCATGGCGATATTCGTCCGGCAAGGGAATGTTTTCGGATCCTCGTTTATCTGGCACAAGCCTTTGCTCCATGTCTGTCTGCTCTTCCTCCGCGTGGCCATTAGCGGAACCAGTGGCTGTTGCCGACCCTGCAAGTTGTTTCATAAGTCGATTAACGACAGCTTGAATGTTGTCGCTGTTGACCATGCCTGACACCAGCTCCAATGCCTGCATTTTGATGGATATGTCTGGATCGTCTAAACAGCCCATGATCACGTCCTGTTGCATCGCAACCAGAGCTGGATGCGAAGCCACAATCTTGTTGAACGCGAGCAACGCAACATATTTCAGGTTCGGGTCGCCATCGAGCACAATCATGCCCCTCAACTTCGATATGCATAGATCCGCCACTTCCTCCACGTCCACACCGCTCTCAGCGCCGTCCAGGATGCCGCCTTGGATGATTCCACTGATGCACTCGTAGAGTAAGGACATTGCCGTAGTTTCTTGTATCAATTTGGTGAGTGGCCGAACCAGTTTCTTGACGAGTCTCGGTTCCAGTGGCGTCAGGACTGCGAACAATTTGATGATCTTGATGCCCATCCAGTTGTTTTTCTGTGCAAGCAGGAGATCGAACAGCCTGGGTGCCAAAGGGAGGAAGTCTTGCGGCCTCCGCCAACCCAGTTCACAGACAACATTGACTGTAGCAGCGGTAACACTGCTGTCTTCCTGTTCATCCAGTAGCCGTTCCTTAATTTTCGGCCATGCCACCCTTAACGTCTCAGGATATACCAACGCTAGTCTGTACAAGGTGACAATGGTCTTCTTGCGTACAGCTGGCTGTGAATGTGACAATCGTGGCAGCAGCTCCGTGAGGATGGAAAGAGCCAAAGAAGACGTCACAATATGCGGAAGTGTGACGAGTGGCAGAGACAGTACCGGTATGGAGGGAGAACTGAGATCTTTCTTCAACAGATTTTCCGCCAGCATAAGAACCTCCATCTCGGGCCGAAAACTCTGAACGGCGGCCAGATACCCAACCCTCTTCTGGATTGGTTTTGGAGATGCCATCACTTCCAGGACATTAAAGGCGGCCCATGTCATATCATAACCGAACATTTCGAGGTAGATGAGCTTGAGTAGCGCGGTAGCCTTGAGATCCAGATCCTGGGAGCGAATCTCACTCCGGCACTCTTTGAGAGCGCCCTGAATGTATTCTGCCTCATTTCCCTTATGGCCGCGCAAACCACGGATGAGATCGACGAGCGACTTCTCGAACATTTTGAATAGGCCGGATCAGGGCGTCATGAAAGATGCGCGGTCAATATCTCGTTACAAATCCCAGATGGCATCATCTCTCACGCGACACAGCATAGGCCAGAGATGCGGACTGAAGGGTTCTTGGCACACATGCATTGATACAGCATGCCGGGCCTTCTTGGAATAGACGAGTGTTTCAAGTGTCCTGATGTGTTGGGCTCCCTTCGTTGGATTCTGAAGCAAAAAGGCATCCGGAAGCGAATGATGCCTTGAGGGTTGTGGAAGTCGATCGACGGAATTGGTCCAGTCGGCGTTTGCTCCGCCGAATTTCGAGCGCCAAGGCTACTGTCGAGCATCAGCTTCGAGGCCGCAACTGTCTGCGACCTAAACACCCCATATGCCCATGGAAAGGGAACAAGACCTATTATTCTACATCTGCTCCAGTGCATTGATTCCCTCCCAGAATACTCAACGGTAACCGGAAAAGCAATGGCCGCTGTCATGCCTAAAGGTCCAGCCTCTGATCCGGCCTCTGCCCTACAGATAGCGCAGGGAGCTCCGGCGATCCTCGCGAAGTCGTCCTCCGTCAGTACGACGTTTCCTGCATCCATGTTCAACACGGCGGACTCGGCAGAGCTTTGGGACGACCTAGAGCAACTCCTCTACGCATGTCTACGGACGGGTGACGACAAATCTGCTTTCTTGTGCGTGGAGAGACTGAGCCAGAGGTTCGGCGCCACGAATGAAAGAGTAATGGCTCTGCGAGGGCTGTACCAGGAGGCTACTGCACCAGACGAAGCCGCTGGGCGAAAGATATTGGAAGACTATGCCAAAATATTGATGGAGAATCCTATGAACGTGCCCATACACAAACGACGGATTGCCCTGATGCGTAGTTTGGGGAAGCCACAGGATGCCATATCAGACTTGGTCCAGTTTGTTGACTCCTTCCCTACGGACATGGAGGCGTGGTGCGAACTGAGTGACCTGTATCATTCACAAGCATGCATCCCGCAAGCAATCTTCTGTTTGGAGGAAGCCCTCATCATTGCTCCTAACGCGTGGAACCTTCATGCACGACTGGGCGAGTTGGAATACCTGGCAAGCCTGTCCGTGACGGAGAGCGCCGAGATTCAGAAACACCTGACGCAGGCAATCCAGCGGTTCAGTCGCAGCATTGAACTTTGTGACGATTATCTGCGGGGGTTCTACGGGCTCAAGTTGGCTGCAGATAAGCTTCTGCGGACGACCACGACATCAAAGGGAAACACCGGCTCAACGATCCCCCCGGAAAAGCTGCAGAAATTGAGCCAGCTGGCGACGTCCAAATTGGAAGCTATCGTAAAGGACCGCACTGGGCGCAGATCGTCCGGGGCAGAATCACCCGAAGTCATTGCAGCTCAGGAGTTGTTGAACAGATCCAAGGGTTGACCACGTACGCCATTCCGGGGACTTTGGAACAAACGCTGGCGACAGTCGATTCTCCGAATGAAACGGCACCGAGTCCGCCACCTGCGTCGGAATCTGAATTGTCATCTTAATTAGAGGTTGACGGTGCGAAAGTTCCTGCAGAAGACCGGCCGGCCGACGAGGAAACGATGGTTCGTCGAAGATCATGTCAGATGCAGGCGTCTCCACTCGCTTCTAGCGTGATGCGTGGTTGTGGGAGTTGGGCAGCATTTTGGCGCGAATCGACGTGGCATTGTTTCTGAGGATGCCTCAGTTGTCACGACACCCAACCGCCGACGAATGAGGCTCGCAGCCAGTCAGCATCCGTGGGTCTTGCTCTCATGCCCTCCGTTTTAGAGTCACTGCAGCCTTGTCTTTCCGACGAACTAACAACCACGAGGTGAAGATTGCGACAATTAGCCCGCTCCCAAGTTGAGGTTCTGTTGGGAAGATCACCGAACGAACACTGCTCTTGTCGGTTTGAGGCGAACAGGTCGGGTATCAGCCCAATCACTCGACTCATGGGAGAGCAGCCCCGGTGGCGGATTGGGTTGTTGCGGTTTTGTCCTATATAGAACGAGAATGCCATGATGGGTCGAAGGGAGACAACCACCCCCAAGCTGTCTCGATATCAATCCAATGTAGACCCATTTGCACTCGACTTGCACTCCTCATTGCCACGACATTAAGAATACCACACCCGTTGCTTTCTACGTCTCCTTGCAAAGGAGCCCTCGATGTCTCAGAATCACCAATCCAATCGTAATCGAAGAAAGACAGCGCGGAAGAAGCGCTTACCACTACTCGATCCAACCCCTTACAGATTGCTTGCATCTTGAACAGAGTTTTCTGTGCGACACTGCGTCACCTCAGTACGCACCAAACATCTGCGGGTTGTTGGAGTGACGCTCTCTCTTGCTCACACCAACTTGCTTCTCCTTCCAAGTCTTTGGCGGAGGCACGATTGTTTCTCGTTGAATATTACTGCCCTCGTTCCAGTTAGCCAGCGTTGGCAAGCGCTGAAGCTCGGAGGCCTTACGGAACCAACGTCCACCGAAGACCCCGTCGAGGCTTACCTGCTGGCGACACGATATTGACCGTGCTGGCCTCTGTCGAGGCCCGGAGCATTATCGCCATTTCAACACTTCCCTGGCCATCGACGTCGGACTCATCGACCTGCCAAGGAACACCTGTGCGATTGCACCAATTTGGGAACACCATTGACATTGACATCGTCATCGACCGAGACTTACCGCGAGAAGGTCGAGCCGGAGCTGCATTGGAAACATATCTGTTTGCTTTTTATCATCGTTGTCATTGAGGAAAGTTGAGAGACCTGGATCTGCGAGGGAGGGCCCGAGAGCCAGAACCGGCATTAGCCCCACCCTTGAACACGGCACACCTAACTGTACCCGCTCGGCGCCTGGACCTGACGAATTAGGCGCTGCTGGTGGGTGAGCAATTGGGCATCAGTCTCCAAATTTGAATCCCCTTTTGGGCCGACAGCTGCACACCAAACATCAGGATTGACTGTCCACACGCGCCCTCAACTCACCGTCTCCTCTCGCTTCGTCTGTCGTCAACAGTCGCTCCTGATCCTGATCCTGACTCTGATCTGCGACTTCTCTTAAACTCCCTTCACAGACTGCTCTCCTCGGATCTACAGTCATACGTTTCCCATATCGTCGGCGTCCTCTCGGCACGACGCATATGCAACTACTTGTGCCTCTGGCCGACCCTTCGTTCCTTTCCTCCCCACGGATCCACCTCCTCGGAATTTCACGACGCACCATCTTTACGACACTACCGCTCCCCGTGGCGCACCTGAGGGCGGTCACCACACCCTCCGCTGCGCCGTTCAATTTCTCCCACCACGGTCTCTGAAAGTCGGCTATCTCAGATATACTCTGGATCTGGCCCGTTTGGATGGTCCTATTGCCTGAAGTCAGCCTCACACCTTGGTTCGGTTAGCATCCCTTGACACTAACATAACCCTCAAGGCTATCTCGTTCAACCTCCCCCTGGGGCAGGTTGGACGCGGTAATCCCTTGACCTGACTCAGTCTCTCATGGGGTGGGTTGTTTCAGCAACATGTTTTCTGTCAATGCTAACTCATCTCCACATAGGTCTTCCAGTCGCGAGAGTCATACACATATCGACATTACCCACATCGCTCCCCGCTCTCCCTCCCTGGGCTCGCAAGACGACGAGCTTCACGAGAACGGCGTCCACGTTTCCGCCGGAGTGTCTCCCCAATATTCTGTCATACATCCCACACAGAGTCAAAGCCAGAGCGGCTCTTCCTCGCACCAGGGAGACTTTGTCCATCTGCAATATCCGAATGAACTAGTCGAAGGCGATGGCTCAGATTCCGTGTCAAGAGTAGACCACCGTGAGCGGATCCAACACTACGAATCCAGGTCCAATTCAGGACGACGTGAGCCGGCTCGCCGCCAGGAATCCCTTCGTGCTCCAGCGCGTAGTAGGACGCGGGAATTGCAGGAATCATCTCCCACCGAGAGCGGAGACTCTACCGAGGAGTTTCTTCGACAAGATCTGGAGTCTCGACGAATGCCTCGTCCTCAATCCTATTATGGGCACAACGGGTATACGATTCACAGCGGTTCATCGGCCCATTCGTACCCATATCCTCCTGTCCCACCCCACGCAGGTCAAGTGGTAGCTCTTCAGCCTCAAGCCATGGCTGTGCCATATCCTCCTCCCTTTCCTCAGGGTCAGCCTGCCCCATATCCTCCGCACGGCGCATACCACACAGGCGGCTTCAACCACCATCACGCTTCGTCACAAGTCAGCGCGCCATACACATCTTCCCCCTATGGACCGCCTACGATTGTCAATTATGGCGCGCCACCGCCTCCCCCGGGAAGCTATTTTCCGGGCCAATACCCGACCCCTTTCGGCCCACAGCAATATCCGTCACAGTACATGCAGTATCCTCAACCGATGCCCTCGCAGTTACCCTATCCATATCCATTTCCTCCCATCGCATCGTCCCCTCAGCCGCCTGCTTCGGCAAGGACTTCGGCTGAAAAGCTTGAAGCAAAGAGCGACGAGGACATCGTCAAACGTCTGCAGGCCATGATGAAGGAGGAACAGGCCGCCAAGGAGGCTGATGCTGCCGAGAAAGCGGCCGAGAAGGCAGCTGAAAAGGCGAATTTAGCAGCCAGTCTTGCCGAGCAAGAAGCTCGTTTCCGTGAACAGGCTCTTCGTCAAGCAGAGGAGAAAGCCCGACAAGACGCGCTACGTGCCGAAGAAGAGAAACGAATTCGAGAGCAGGCTATGCTCCAGGCTGCAGAGAAGGCTCGAGCGGAGGCGGCAGCGGCAGCTGCTCGCGCCGAAGAGGAGCGGCGTATCCGGGAAGACGCCATACGGGCTGCAGAGGAGAAGGCTCGTGCTGCTGTAGCTGCAGAAGCGGATCGCCGAGCACAAGAGCAACGGATCCGAGAAGAAGCCAGGCTTGAGGCAATCCGGGCTTATGAGGAGCAGGTCCGCAAAGCTGCAGAACAGGCTGCACGAGAGCAGCAAATTCGAAAGGAGGCCGCGGAGGCCGCCCTTAGAGCCGCCGCCGAAGAAGCTCAGGCAAAGGCCGAGAAAGCTGCCGCGGAAAAGAAGATTGCCGATGACGCTGCGGCAGCGGCAAAGACGGCAGCGGAGCAAGAAGCGGCAGCAGCAGCCGCCGCTCTCAAAGAGGAGGCAAAAGCAGCCAAAGAGGCAGCAGAAGCCAAATTAAAGGAGGCTGAAGAAGCGGCGGCCAAGGCCAAAGCAGAGGCAGAGGAGGCGGAAAAGAAGGCCGCCGCTGCAGCCCCTCCAGCAAAGAAAGCGCCAGTCAGGTTCAAGGACGCAATTGGTCGTAATTACAACTTCCCGTGGGAGCGATGTTGCAAATGGAGAGTAAGTCGACCTGATCCTGTGAGTCGGATTGTGCACTAACCTGCTGGAAGGATATGGAAGGTTTGATTAACCAAGCCTTTGCACATATCGATAATTTGGCCGAACATGTCATGAATGGCCGCTACGATTTGATCGGTCCTGACAAGGAGATCATCATGCCCAACTACTGGGAATCCACCGTGGAGCCCGATATGCACATCACAATGATGCTCTGGCCCATCCCAGAGCCGAAAGCGGTGGAAGAGGAACCGCCGCCGCCCCCTGATGTGATACTTGACACGGACGGCATTCTCAATCTGGATGGGATCGATATCATAAATCCACGGAAGGAAAGGAAGGGTATGTGAACCTCTGCCTGTGCTACTTGCTTGGGCGTTGCTGATCTTTTCTCCTTAGCGGCTCCCAAAAAGAAAAAGCCCACCGGTCTCGCCGGCTGGATGCTGGGAGGAAGTAGGGGGTCGCGGTCTTTAAAAGGTGATAAAAAGCCTGATGTGGCCGCTAAATCTCAGCACGGTGCCACCGACCAAGGTGCATGCATCGTTATGTGAGCGGCTTTCCTGATGTCGACATCGACGAAGTGTACAGACTGGAGGCGATTTTGTTCAGCAGAAGATTGTGGGAGATTGGAAAAGAGGTGGAAGTTGGGCGGCAGTGTCCATTTGCTCATCCATTACAGCATATCCGCCTGGATGACGACGACGACTACATCTCTCGGTTCTCTGCAGCAACTACCAGTTGGCGACATTTCACGAAGTTGACGAAGGAGGCTCACTCGCATAGGCCACTTCAGGAGGCATGGCTTTATCCTCTCGAGAATTCGGGATCGGTTTTTCATGCCTCGGGGGGGACGAGTTCGTGGATGCTTTTCCTTTGTCACATTTACGAATTATGAGGATGTGGGTTTAGCGGGAGTTTTGAGAATACACGTCGGAGTGAGCGATTCAATGACAAGCAAGCTCACCTTGCAAGAGTGGGCGACATGCTGGATGTCGGTTGAGGCTCCTAATGTTATCCCAAATGGTGTTGCTCGTTCGGCGCCTCACATGTGATACCCAGTTCAGGTTGGCTGCCATAATTGGCCATGTTGCTCATCATCTTGGAAACAAAAGCCTATGTAGCAACAAGACTCAAACAATAGAAAATCTCAAAGACACGTCCTTGTTCCTGTCTCGTGGCTCTGAAGGAGGAAGATCGTGACACGAACAGCGCAACATGCCACATGCGGTGGCTCCAGTCATCGCCGTCGGAATCTCACTCAGCAGGATATGCACGTGACCGGCCGAGACACCTCGACCACCGCACCTTGACTTGGGCCATGCGTCAAACAAACACGACGACGACGACAGGATCGCTTCGGTATATAGTTGGCGCGACAACCTGGTGTCTGTGGCATCTACGAGACTGCAAACTGTTCAGTCTGTCAGCGAAAGTCCAAGCGAGATAGTGATCACTTTTGGGCCCAGGCACCGAAGACTTCAAACCGCCTCATCACGCGACCGGATTCCGCATAAGTCAATGATCTCGCCTGCTGGAGGTAACCCTCGTTCGGCCGAGCCCAAGACAGAAGGTCCTGATCATCTCGGCAATGAGGTTCGATTGCGCCTCATCCAATAACCTTCGACACGATGTCCATGCGGGTGTTGATCCATGACTACCCGCATCGAACAGTGGCCCTTGCGACGGATGAACATGTCTTGGTATTCCGCCATTCTCATGCTGCTTCCGACAGCCACAGAAACTCGGTCTCTAGCTCAACGAGCCTTCCACTGAGTAACGCAAGCCGACCGGTCTCGACGCCTCGTTGCATGGTCGAGTTCGGGGAGAAGTCGATCGTCAACCTCGAGCATTTCCATCCTGTCACGACTGCTCGAGGCACTCTGGGGCTCGTCACTCTCAACAACGATGTCTTCCTATGCGTCATTACCGGTTCAGAAGAAGTTGCGACCGTGCGACCCGGGGAGACCGTGCGGAAGATCTTCGCTGTCGAATTTTGTAAGTGATTTATTAACCCAAAGGAAGGCCTGGAGTGCTAATCTAGAAAAGACTGTCTCAATCGTGCGGACTATGACCACGCCCATGGTCCCTACCCCAATCCCTATCCTGGACAGATTTTTCACTCGGACGACGTTGACTATACACAAGGCGATGATGTCTCGGAGCATCCTTTTCACGCCCTGAGAAAGCTGTTGAGCAATGGCAACTTCTACTACAGCACTGACTTTGATTTGACACGAAGACTACAAGACCGGTACGTTGGAAATCATGATGCAGGGATCAGTGACGGCTGACTCGCTTGCAGCGCCGAAGCCGACAGCACTATCGACATTTCCAGCTTCGACCAGGGCCTCCTCTGGAACTCATACATGATCGACCCGCTGATAAAGTTCCGAAGCAGACTCACCGATTCTGAGCGGTATGCACTAGACCACAGTCGGCTCCTCACTTCCGTCACACGAGGATTTGTCAAGAGTCTTGTTGTCCCGCCTTCCTCGTCGCCGATCCGCGGCACAGTACCAGGGCACCCTACAACATTGACCATCATCTCAAGGCTTTCATCTCGACGAGCTGGCACGCGCTTCAACTCGCGCGGTGTCGACGACGACGGTAATGTCGCAAATTTTGTAGAAACCGAGACGGTTTTCTGGTCTCCGACCGGACTTTGCTTTTCATATACTCAAGTTCGAGGCAGTATACCAATATTCTGGGAGAGCTCAAGTAGCCTGATACCGGGGCAGCAAAAGATACAGATTACTCGCTCGCCGGAAGCTACACAGCCGGCCTTTGACAAGCACTTTGCGAATCTAGAAAGGACCTATGGAGCCGTACACATCGTCAACCTTCTGAGTGCTACCAAGCCTGGTGAGGTGGAGCTCACAGAGAGGTACCGACACCATGTGGGCAGGAGCCCCCTGCGGCGGCATGAAGAAGGGGAAATGGAGGAGCATCACCTCCTCCGTGAGACCGAGTTCGATTTCCACGAGCGGACGCGAGGTCCGACCGGATACGAGGCTGCGAAGGGGATTCGACCGTATCTCGAAACGAGCGCAGACTCGTTTGTCTACTTCCTTTCCGAAGAAGTCGAGGAAGAGACCGTCGTGCAAGGCCGAAAGAAACTGACGAGGAGGCCGATCGTTATCATGCAGCAGAATGGTGTCTTCCGCGTCAACTGTCTGGATTGCCTAGACCGGACGAACCTGATCCAGGGTATCATCAGCCAGATGGCGCTTGAACTCTTCTTGTCACATCGTGGTGAGCGCGGAAACTCAGACTTTTGGATGCGACACTCTGCACTCTGGGCGGACAACGGTGACACTCTCTCCAGGATCTATGCCGGAACGGGCGCGTTGAAGAGCTCATTTACCAGACATGGGAAGATGAGCCTTGCAGGCGCTCTTGCCGATGCCAGGAAGAGTGCTACTCGCCTTTATGTCAACCATTTCGAGGACAAGAACCGGCAGAATACAGTTGATCTGCTGCTTGGCAGATTGGTTGGTCAGACCAGTGTCGACCTGTTCGATCCGGTCAATGACTGGGTTGTCGCAGAGGTGGCTCGACGGAGAGCGGAGTTTGAGTCGAGAGATCAGCTGAGACTTGGAATGGGAACATACAACTTGAATGGCAAAACAGCCGGCATCAACGAAGACTTGACTCCCTGGCTCGATGTTAGGGGCAGAAACTTGGACATGGTCGTGGTCGGCTTCCAGGAAATCGTCGAATTGAGTCCTCAGCAGATTATGAGCACCGACCCAAATCGTCGAATGCTGTGGGAAAGAGCAGTCAGAAATTGCCTCAATGGGTACGGTCCGGGTGAGAAATTTGATGGAGTACCCACGAAAGGTGATGAGTATGTGCTGCTGCGGAGCGGACAACTAGTCGGAGCCGCACTGATGGTCTTCGTGCGGGCAAGCGTCCTTCCCCGGATCAAGAATGTGGAGGGCGCGATCAAGAAGACCGGCATGAGTGGTATTGCTGGGAACAAAGGTGCAGTCGCGATCAGGATGGACATCGAAAACACCTCGGTGTGTTTTGTCACCGCGCATTTGGCGGCCGGGTTCGCCAATTACGAGGAGAGAAATCGCGATTACAACACGATCACGTCTGGATTGAGATTCCAGCGGAATAGAAGCATCGAAGACCACGAAATCATCGTCTGGGCGGGTGACTTCAACTACCGCATCGGCTTGGGCTACGAGAAAACGAAAGCACTCGTCAATGAAGCGATCATCGGCTCCGAAAAGATCAGAGAGGAAGCACTGGGGAAACTGTACGAGAACGACCAACTGAACATCCAGATGGTGGTGGGCAACTGCTTCAACTACTACCGTGAAGGGCGGGTTAAGTTCCTGCCTACGTACAAGTACGACATCGGCAAGGATGACTTCGACTCCAGTGACAAGCAGCGCATCCCAGCCTGGACGGACCGGATCCTCTGGAAGGTCAACCACAGCCGCAACGTGGTGCAAGCGGGCGAGGTGCTCGGCTCACAGATGAAGCAGCTGGAATACGACAGTGTTATGGGCCTGCGATTCAGCGACCACAGACCCGTCTACGCGATCTTTGAGATGGGGATCCGTGTGGTGGATGAAGAGAAGAAAGACGCGCTGACGAAGAGACTGTACGCGAAGAGAGCGCGAGAGACGAGGATCAAGGCAGGCGATTCGACAGAGGGCTTCGAGGACGTCGAGACCGACGACGAGACCGAGAGCGTCGTCGACAGTCTGATGGGATACGAGAGCATCCAGGAGGGGTTGCCCCCGGCAAGCAGCGACAAGAGGAAATGGTGGCTCGACGGCAACAAGGGCGCCAGGAGTACCCTCCGCCCACCCAGGGAAGGAACCATGTTGAGTAAAGACCGAGAAGCCAATCCGTGGAGAGAAGGAGGTGGCGAGGACGACTGGGTCGAGGTAGAGAGACCGCCCATCATGGATAACAACAAACCGAGAAGTCGAAGCCGATTGGAAAGTTTGAGGAAACCGGAGCCTCCTCCCCCGAGGACGGTGAAGAGGATGGTCCCCCCGCCGTGGGAGGGAGAGAGGGTGACGGGTTCGACGCCCCCGGGTCAGGGTCAGGGTCAAGAGATGAGACCTGTGCAACGAGGCCCAACACCAACTCCACCAGCGCCACGGAACAGATCCTCGAGCGCGACGACCTCGCCCGTCCGCTCGCCAGACGTCCCTGCCAGGTCGTCTTCCGCGGCAGGATTTCCCAAGAAACGCCCGCCCCCAAAGCCGTCCAAGCCGTCGGCCCTGACCAGCTCGTCCAGCCAGGCCGCCGTCCCACAGCTGGGCCCTCTTCCAGGCCCGACCGCGCCGCGCCTGGCGAGCACATCTCGCCCCGACACCGTCTCTCCAGGCCCCAGCCCGAGCCCGCAGACGGATGACCGTCCACCACCCCTCCCTAAGCGACGGGAGACGGCGAGTTCGACAGCGAGTTTCGTCAGCGCGTCGGACTCGATCGGCCCTGCTTTGGCGTCTCGACCGATATCCAGAGCCGCTGGGCCGCCTCCTCCTGCTCATACGTCTCTTTCCAGGGGCGCAAATCTCGCACACCAACAACAGCAGCAACAAACCCCGAGAACAGACGGGACAAGTGAGATTGCTGCCCCCCCGTTGCCCTCGAGACGCGATACCAGCACCAGCACCAGCACCAGCAACAGTGCGAACGTATCTCTGCCTGCTAGGAACGGACGAACCAACCCGAGCGCGGGACTCATGGACGAAGATGACCTGTCCGGCCGCGGCGGGCTGGATAGGTATAAGCCGCTTGTACCCGGTTGAGGAATTCCAGACACATTTGATCCGAGGAGTTTATACGCGAGGTAAGGCAGGCAGAAGGGCAGAGGGACAGGCAAGCCAAGCGCCAGGGAACGAAAACGGTGGATCGACAGAAGAAACCTAGAGGGAAGGAACGTCAAGGAGGAAAGGGAGTAGGCTTCTATTGCATCTATAGCTACAGTACATGTAAGACGTACTATCAGCAGTGCTCGATGCGGTTTCGTTTTGATTCCCGTCCTGTTCTCCAAGTCCTTGCTATGGCTGTCGTGGTCAAGACTTAATTTTGCCCCGGGTGCATTCATACATATTGCTAGATCCTACGTAATCGACATGGTGGTTTATCGGCTCTTTATGTCTTGCGTAGCGGTGCCAGGCATGCCAGACGAGTGCGTCGTCCATCGTAAGTGTCGGCCTGTCTCTGCTCTACCACGAATAACGTCCCCGTTGTGGCGAGACACGCGGAAGACTGGGAGAACACACGCATGTTGGTAAGATGTCGTCTTCCACGGGTATCAGTCGCGGTCGGCGACGGGCGCGGTATCTTCCATCTGTAGAAACATTCTTCTCGAACGATGCGCGTCAATTTCCGGAGGCGCCACCATCCGACACCACGGCGGGAATGTCCCCGTCGATGACGGGAAGCACACCTGCGTTGAAGGGCGGGGGCGACCTCTTCGGGGACAACGTTCGTATTGACGACCCTGTGAAAGACGGGGACAGCGACCGTGCTGGCTTCAGGGACGACGTGGGATGTTGGATGTGTCGTGGCGAGGACGGCCGCACAGACGAGAAGAAGGAAGGCCGTCTTACGCATCGTAAGCTGAGGAACTTGAGGCAGCTGTGAGGAGGTCGAGGTGGAGGTGGAGGTCGAGGTCCAGATCCAGGTCGAGGATATTGTAATGGCCGAGGACTGAAGAGGGGAGAAGGAGGGAGGATTCAGATTCCCAGAATGTCAGCGGCTGTCGCCTCTTTATATCGTTGCTTCCTTCCGGATCAATTAGGTCCTCGTGGCGGACCGGCAGGATGAACAGCGTCTACGTTCCTTTTTTGGATTGCCAATGGTTCCGGTGAAGGTCCTCGAGGGTTGGCCCCGGTTACGTGCTTTGACTGTAACTTCTTGGTTGAGTGACCCGAACGCTTTGAGCTGCCCGAGATTCTGCTCGGATCTCGTGTATCGTTGCTGAGCCAGTTGTTCGCTTCCCCAACCGACGAGCCACATGTTGTCTCCAGTGAACGGACGTCGAGAATACATGACGGCTTCATGGTGGAAGGGTGACCAGGTCGTCTGGGAACATAGGTCGCACTGCGGCCTGTCTCGTCTTGTTGTGATGTGTTCCTCCTCCTCACCCAGCGCCCGGCTTGTGTCCCTTCCTGCCTTCATCCAATAGTCTGACCTCTTGCTCAAGCGACTTGATCTCCCGGTCTTTCTGGTCTTTGATCGCCTCGGTCTCCAACAAGAGCCATGTCCAGTAGGTGATTTGATACGTCAGGAACGACAAGGTCACCACTTTCGCGAAGGCGCGGCCATGAACTCGGTAAAAGTTGACCGGTCGTTCTGGTTGAGCTGGGCCTTGCCGGGTCTGAGATCGTAGTGGCGTGGAACTGAACCTGCGGAGGTTCTGGACTATCGGTCGTCGAAGCTGGAACAGTGGTCGTGGAGCTCGCATTGTAGAAGCCTCGCGTCGAGTGTATGCGAGGGACGCCAATTCTCGGATCTCAAGTGGAAATGAACCTGGAGCTGCAGCCGGATCGAGCTTCGGAGGCTTCAATTCGCGCTCATCATCTACCTGAAGTCGAGGAGCGATCAATGTTTGTTGCGTTTGTTGGGTTTGCCGCATTTTGGTGCCGGGCCGAATTCGACGAGCCATTTCAAGCGCACGACGAACAGAGTGAAGCAGAGTCCAGCTGCTTGATTGAATATCTCGAGCTTTGGGGAATTGCATGTCTTGAGGCCAGTGGCATTCTACCTACATCTCCACTTCCTGTCAGCTCAAGAGAGCCAAATGGCTGAGAAGATGACCGCTGATTCTATGCTCCATGATGGGCCGCGGAGTACACAGATGGAATGCAACGCCTCCCAAGCTCAATTCACCACGCCCTCATGCCTGGCTCATCACTAGGGGACGTCTGGACTAGACCAGTTCAAGTGACCCAGAGCGACGTACTCGTAGAGAGGTTTCGTATCTGGATTCTCGACTGGACTAGACTAGAGATTCTCGTCGCCACGAGTGGCGTGCAGAGTCGCTCTCGTGACAGGAGAAGATACATCCACATACAGTACGTATCGCCACTAACAAGAAAAGATTACTGATGTCTTGTTCCATCATCACGCAGCAAGTGTATAGGTGAGGCGTAAGCTTGAGCATGAGCGCGGACGTAAGCGCGTGCATGCATGCGATTTCCACGACGTGATGTCGTCCATGTGGCACGTAGGCCAGCACCATCTCAATCCTCACTTGGGTCCATGTTCTAGGTCCAGTTCTTCAGTTCTTAACCGTCTCCTTGACGACGTCGTCGGCGTTGTAAAGCTCCTCCTCTGCGATGTGGTACTTGGCGGACTTGCGGGCCGGGACGCCATGTTGGAACTGTGCGTGAGGGAACTCGGGTCAGCATAAAGTTTCTTGGCTTCTGGACTCTCACGTTGTGCAGGTCCAAGTCCACGCGCAAGCGCACATGAATTAAGCCAACGTGGGGTGACTTACCATGAAATCCAGCTCGCCAAAGGTCCGGCCCTTGGTCTCGAACAGACGGAAGTAGCCCCAGATGAAGGTCAAGGTGGCGAGGCCTGCCCAGAAGAAAGCCTGCAGCAAGCAAAAGTAAGTAAGATACCAGTAGACAGTGGCCGATTGTGATGAAGTAAGAAGGGAAGGGTAGCAAAGGCCCGGAAAACATACAGTCTTGCCCTTTGCATTCCATGCGCCCGGCGAGATCAGCTGCGGCTGAAGCAAGCCTCCACAGATGATGTTACCGACATAGTAGGTGCTGCGGGCCAGGACGACCGTCTGGGTGCGCAGGCGCGTCGAGCCCACCTCGGAGACGAGGACGTAGATGATGGGCCCGACAGACATGGAGTAGGCGCCCAGCCAGACGATGCAGAGGATGGACTGGGCCCACGCGAGACCGAGCGTCTGGTGAGGCAGGGCCAGAAATCCGATCAGCCAGAGCAGCACGACCAGCGAGGCGAACCCCCACAGCCAGATGGTCCGCCTGCCCAGGCGGTAGATGTACAGCCAGGAGATGATGGTGCCGACAAAGGCGATGCCCGTGCCGCCCAGGGCGATGCCGTACGCGGCGTTGGCGCTGATGCCCGTCTGCTGGAAGAAGAAGCTGCCGCTGTAGCAGAGCGCGCCGCCGTTGGTGATCTGCGACAGGAAGCCCATGCACGCGATCTCGGTCCGGCGGCGGTTCGTGCCCCGGAAGGCGTCCCACAGCTGCACGCCCGCCCGCTCCTGGATCTCCAGCTTGTTGGTGTGCACCATCATGGCGAGCGTGGCGTCGATGCTGCCGTTCTCGTCGTGATGGTGTTCCGGCTCGGTGAGGCGCTCGAGCGACTTGCGCGCGTCCTCCAGCCGGTCCGTGCGCACAAAGAACCATGGCGATTCCGGCGCGAAGTAGGCCGCCACGAACAGCGGCACAGGCCACACCCACTGGATGGCGAACGGGATCTTGTAGCTCCATTTCGTGGGGTTGTTGACCAGGCCCTTCAGCACGCCCGCCGAGATGAACTGCCCGATGCACCAGCACAGGTTGACGTACGCGGTCAAGTAGCCTCGGATCGCCAGTGGAGTGACTTCGGCGGCGTACGAGGGTCCCGTCGTCGCGAATACTCCCCAGGGGATGTTGCATAGGAACTGGCCCAAGAGCATGATTTCAATGGTCGGCGCGAAGAAGACGATGAAGATAAACCCCGTGAGCAGGAAGAGCGTGCCCATCAAGACCCGTCGGTGGCCCCATCTCGCGGTCGCCCAGCCGTTGAGGAGCGCACCGATGATGTTGGCCAGTGCACCGAGACAGTTGAACTTCTGCTGCCAGTTCGCTGAAATTTGGTAGCCGCTCTCTTCGTTCAGGTATGCCCCGTATTTGAGGCGAAAGCTGGGATAGCCGAAGAAGGAGCCAAGCAGCGTCACATCGTAGCCTTCCATGATGACAGTGGTGGAGATGACTAAGGAGTGGTGGCTAAGTCAGCCAAGCGGACGACGATGCATTTACGGTAATTGGAGGAGATAGGGGCTGTTGCGGCCAGGGAGGGAGAGAGACGTACCGACCGACCAAAAGGCCGCGCGCTTGTATGTTTTGAGGGCCTGCAGGACGCCCATGCTGTGTTCCTGCGCAGCGCCCTCGAGGGCACCTCCGGCGAGAGCCGCATCGCGAAGGTCTACATCCTTGAGGCGCTCAACCCCTCCGTGGGCCTCGAGATGGATGGCGTCGGCATGTTTGTCGGTTGCCATCTTTCAGGGACGGCGGCGACAAAGGGACCGAGCCGATGCCTGAAGCGTGTGCGCTTCCAAGTAGTGTTGTTGTTGTCGTTCCTCCAGAAGAGTTAGGTGACTCCGACCTCTCGCACTGACGATTTGTGTTGCGAAATTGCGGGGGGCATGCATGTATGTTATATATGCGGACGGGACATGGGTTCACGATCAAGTTCGCTCCGGGGAACCTTTTCACGTGGCACCCGCCGTCTGCCATCAGCATGGGTGGCCAGAATCCCCGGCGCTCGATACAGCTTAGACCCGTGGATTCATCCATGGCAGAAAGTCCTTGCTGGCGTTCTCACGCCACGAGACAGGAGATGCAAGACAATCTGGACTCAGTTGTCAGCCTGCCATTGAGGCTAATTTCTCAGACGAGTCGGATAATATAGATGGACAGATACATAGATATATGACGGAAAACCTGCACTTACTGGACTTGGTAAGCATGGAACAAGCCAGTGCATGGGAAGATCCATTGTGGTTTGAAGTCTGGGTATATTGGTAGTGCAAAGAGGTCATGGTTGGGTGCCAAATCTCGATGCTACCCCTGCGGGGCCACCGGGTTCTTTCCAGAAACAAAGGGTGCAGATTGCAACGTTGTGTTTTGCCATTCTTGGATCGTTCTGGAGTCCCTACTGCTGGGTACTGGTCGGAGCATGCGCGTACGGAAACACGGCTGATTCGTGGTGAAGACACCATGGGGCCCCAGCTTATGCGGGGGTGGGGACTCCGTACTGTAACGGCGTTGACTGTATCCCAGTAGAGGCTGCCGGAGGAAGGGTGGGTTGTAACTGGCTTGCCACAGCACGGCGTACGGAGTAAGGATCACTTGTAAGCGGACTGCTGCGGTTTTGCGTCGAGGCTGGGGCTTTAGCCTTTGACCACATCAATCCTAAGGCGGAGGACTCTCACCTCGGTGGACACTGTCAGACGCTTCTGGCACTTCTTCGGCCGATGTGTGGGCTGAAGGAGTCCTCGAGGCTCGGCCGTCTCAGTCCAGCTCGCCGTGGCCACTCAGCACGTCCCAGCGCTTCCCAGGCCAGGAGCAACTTCGGTAGGGCAAGCGGTTGGCACTGCCGGAATATATCCAAGAATGGTATATACTCACACACACGATCTCTGCAGTGCGTCCGGTGGGATCTCGCCAAGTGGGCATCGGTCCAAGGCGAAACTCTTGTCTCCATGGCCATGCCATAAGGAGTACTACCTCCAGCACGGTCGGTTGGCTGCAATGCGATTTCCGCGCCGGCGACATGGTCCTCCGCGTCTCGGCGATGCTAATGGGGATAAATGTTTAGTAGGAAACTCAGTTTGTTTTGTTTTAACCAGTGTTTTCGTCTGTCTTGGGACACTGTTGGTCCTATGCAGGCCGGCCATCTTTTCTTGTCTGTGCGTCCTAGCCTTTGCTCACGTCCACGACCTCGATACCTTGTATTCCCTTCAGGGCAAGGCTCTCGGCGACGGCGAAAGTCTTCGCCACTTTTGAGACATCGCTCGCTTCCACAAGCTCGACAACCTTCTCACCTTGCAGTGGTCCATTGACCAGAAGTTGCAACCCCTCCATGATGTTCCCGTCGGGCTCCTTCAGACTCTGGTTAAAGGGCACAACAGCACCAGGTCTGAGAAGTATGGGCATGGTGTCAAAGCTGTGAGTCTCGGTGTACCATCGACCTTCCTCGTACGTTCTGCCGTGGTCAAAGAAGCTCCTCCACATTGCCTGCTTCGCTGTTGACGCTGCATTGGATGTACTGCCGGGCTGCCCAGAAAACGGCACGTAGAACGTAACTTCTCCTCCCTTGTCGAACACTGGCGCGATCAGCAGCTCCTCCCCAAGCATGTATTGTGTGTCCAAGTTCCACGAGTTCGGGTCGGATTCTCCAAATTCGAGGAACATGGCTCGCATCACGGGCGTGCCCTTCGCATGACCCTCAAGTGCGGTTCGCAGCAGATAAGGCATCAAAGCGAGTTTCCGCCCGACGCTCTCTCTCAGGACTTTGCTGCAGGCCTCATCCTCACCGGGATACTGTTTGGAGTCGTAAATCCAGGGGACGCGATAACTCGAACTGCCGTGCAAGCGCGAGTGGCTACCCAAGAGACCGAACTGGACCCAGCGCTTGTACAACGCTGGGTCAGGCAGTCCTTCGAATCCGCCAATGTCGTGCGCCCAGAATGCAAAGCCCGAGAGTGCAAGAGACAAGCCTCCGCGCAACGTTTCCGCCATAGCTTCAAAGGTGCTCTCGCAATCTCCGCCCCAGTGCACAGGAAACTGTTGCCCACCAGCCGTCGCCGCTCTTGCAAATAGACAGCCCTTCTTCCCGTGCGCCTCCATGGTCTCGTACACGGTCTTATTGTACAGATAGGCGTAGAAGTTGTGCATTCGTACCGTGTCCGATCCGTCATGATATTTGACTTGATGCGGGAGAAATGGGATTCGTTCTCCAAAATCCGTCTTGAAGCTGTCGACTCCCATGTCCATCAACCTCGCCAAGTGCCCAGAATACCATTCCCGCGCGGCGGGGTTGGTGAAATCCACACAAGCCATTCCCGCCTGCCAGTTGTCCCACTGCCAGACAGTCGGCCTAGAGGTATCGGCGCGCATGATGAAATAGCCGTTCTTTTTACCTTCGGCGAATAGTGGTGACGCTTGAGCAATATACGGATTTATCCAGACACACAGCTTCATGCCGCGGTCTTTCAAGCGTTGGAGGTAGCCCGGTGCATCGGAGAAATTTTCGTCGTCGAACTCGAAGTCGCACCACTGAAAGGACTTCATCCAGAAACAGTCAAAGTGGAATACCCTCAAAGGAATCTCTCGCGATTTGAAGCCATCCAGGAACGACGTCACCGTCTTCTCGTCGTAGGACGTGGTGAAAGAAGTGGTCAGCCAGAGCCCGTACGACCAGGCTGGAGGTAAGCCAGGCCGACCAGTTAAAGCGGTGTAGCGGTTCAAGATCTCTTTGGGTGACGGGCCGGCTATTATCATGTATTCGAGGCTCTCGCCTTGAATTGCAATGTTGACGCGAGTCGTTCGCTCAGACTGGATTTCCAGCATGACCTTGCCCGGGTTGTTGATGAAAACGCCATAGCCCCGACTCGACACGTAAAATGGAATGTTCTTGTAGGTCAGTTCAGAACTGGTCCCACCGTCCTCGTTCCACACGTCGATCGTTTGGCCGTTCTTCACGAACGGCCCGAACCGCTCACCGAGACCGTAGATCTTCTCGCCTACAGATAGATCCAGCTCTAGGAGGATGTAATTCTCCTGTTGCGCGTACATGCCTTCCTCGGCCCTATACCTTGGCGTGTCCGAGCAGGACACCACTGCAATGGAGCGATGCGAATGGCCAGTGAGTCTCCTGGACTGGTGGGAGTAGGTGAAGGCCAGGTCATTGGGGGGAGTGTTTATCGACAAATCGAGCAGCCCACTCGAGTATTCCAGCGCTTTCCCTTTGGAATGATTGATCGTGGGCGCTGGCGGGGACTCAAACAACGGGAAATGAGGCCCTAGATCTTCTTCACCACTCCAATGTGAGAAACTGGCTGCGATCACCCCTTCTAGGGGAGACCAGATTCGGGTAGAGATGGTGCCGACGTTGAGCGTGTCGCCCCGTGTTCTCTGATGCTTTGTGAGAAGCAAGTCGACGCTGTCCTTGGCGACTTGAAGCCTCTCCACGTTTCCCATCCAGTTGAAACTGACCCCGTTTCTAGTCCGCCACATGCCCTCGGTGAACTTCATGTTTGGTAGTGCTGGTGTAAGACTTCTATAGAGCTTCGGGGCTGCTCTGGCTCGATTCCCAACGACCTACCACACACGCGGTTGACGGCGAATCCCGAATTTAAGGGATTAGTGAGGCTCAGTGGGTGCACACCGGATAGCAAGGCTGGACACTTCCTGCCCATCTTATCGCACATGGTGACAAAGAATATGTGCAGATATGAACGGTACGGGTGATCGATGAGGATAAAACCCGGAGGATTACTGCCTTGGTTGCAAGTGCCACCAAAGTGACGGTGATACGAAAGTGAAATGAAGTCGGGGCTAAAAGGTGGGCGGAGAAGGTGCAGTCTGACAGAAACAAGACCTGTCTAAGGTGCAAAAAGGTGTGTCAGACAGAAACTATTTTTGGCCCCATTGTAATTAGGCAAAATCCTGCGACTCAGTGGAGCGCAGATGCGCATGCTATCTGCCCTCCCTCGACTTTCAGCTGGTTAAAGATACGTCACATCGATTATTGCCGTTGACTTCCGAGAGGAGTTCCCTGAGATCGTTGACCCACCAACGCGAATTACTTCCTGTATAAGGTACCGACGCCCAGACTCGCATTGGATCATCCGAACATCATCTGGTCCGCATCTGATCGTTCCGCTGGCTGATTCGGAGGGCCACTTTGAGTCCCTCTGGGTTCGTTGATAGAGGATGGAGAGGCGACTTGGATTGAATGTGAAGCAAGCGACGTGGCTCCAAGGCGCAAGACGAGCTGCGAATGGTCGGTAGAGCACGATGCAGACTGGCACCCCGGCGCACTGTGACCGTTCAGTATGGAAGGTCGTCTCTGGGTACTCTGTAGTCGAGACGCTCTTTTTTGTCGATGTCGGCGTCCGTCCAACCGGCTGCGCGGAGGATGCGTCCGATGATTGGATTCTTCTTCTGCCCATACTCAAGCGAGTGCTGCGATGATGAGGCAAGCTCGATCTTCGTTTGCCCATACTCCTTCTTCAGAGATTCGTGCTCAGGCATTCTCAACGTGTCACGGAGTGCTCGATGACATCGCATGATCAATCGTCCTTCAGGACTTTGTCTGTCAATGATATAGCTATTTCAGGGTCAGTCGGTATCCACCATGGGTCTCTAGATATCGAGCAAGGCTGACACATGATGCACCCCAGCGAGTCCCAGAGCCTCCTGGAAAACCCTGCAGCACAGCGCGAGGCTTAGGGAGACTTACACGCTTTGACTTGGAACCACGCGTTGACCTTGGAACTTCATACTGAGTCTGCCTCTGATACCGCCGTCGCCGATGCATTTATAGTGTGCTTCTGGTGGTGGTTCGTAGACAAGAGCCTCTTTCGCCAGTTCAGCATTGCAAGCGTCCGGCACTTCAATGATGATGTCGATTATGGGCTTCGCTATCAGACCCGCCACCGCTGTGCTGCCAACGTGTTCGATCGCTAGGTACTCAACACCGCAAAGGTTGAGATAGTAGCTTAGCTTTTCGGCTATCTGCTTGAAGTGGTCCGGCCAAGCGGGATCATATTCCACCACTGAGATGACCGGCATTGTCGTCGCCATGCCTACGAGAGAAATATCCAGTGGTGATGACTCCTGTTGATGCTTGAGGTCTTGGATATGCGTTTCGCACTCAACATTTTGAGGAGGAATCTTGGGTAGAAGTTGACGAGGTTGATGTTGGCAGATGCTCAGGAAATGAACAAAGGGGCAAGCAGTTTTTTGTAGAAGGTCGCGGGGTCTTTGTGAAGCACTGAGGTAGGTTTGACACTTATTCAATGGAGTTACTTAGGCAATTGACTTGTGCTCACTCCTCTTGATAACTTCCAGATCCTGGGACATCACTACTGCGCCTCTGCCACGAGAGGCAGTCGTCATGATGTGAAAAAGGTATTGGGCGGCGCTCATTCAGCTTGGCTGCCGCTCGTCTAACAACATCGTATGGAGTTTGAAGGTAGTCGCACGTGTTGCCTTGTGTATCTTGACTGTGCTCTGGTCGGTAGTTTCGCCAACTTGCCCGTGACTGTGCTGGAATGTCATTTGATAGCTGTTGTCATGATCAGCCGATCTCCTCATCGTGTTCTTTGAGCCTGTCGTGGGTGGGTGCTTTCGCCAGAGCCCGCCTTTTCAACTTCAATGTCTTTAGGAGTGTCGTGCCAGGATTGAGGCCAAATGCCACCACAAACACAAGCAGGACAAGACACAGTCCGACCACACAGTAGACCCAGAACCCAGGTTTACCGGGAGCATATTCATCCTCCATGCTGAACAGCTGAGAGGCAAGCCCGAGTGGGATGAACACCATCGCGAGTATGCTGAGCTCTTTCATCCTCATAGTCTCGATGATGCTGACGAGGCCTGTCATGGAGCTGATGACAGCCTGGACTCTGCCGCGGAGCTCGCGCAGATCGTGGAGGATATGGGTGAAGTCGTCTTCGCTAGGGTCGTTGGCCGCCTGTCCAGGGAAACTCCCCAGTGTACCGGAGGCCTTGAACTGGCTGATCGACCGGTCGACCTGCTCGCGCCACCCGGCAACTCGGTCATTCAGATGCTGCACGTCCCGTAAGGAGTTTTGGATCAGTGTCGATGATACGCTGGCGAAGAAGCAGGCACGATGATAAGTGTTCTCGTATTTGACCAGGAGATCAAGGCTGTACCGCAATTGAATCATCCAATGCGATGCGACGTACCGCTTCAAAACCCCGGTCACTGTCTCTGGCGAGTCATATCCAGCAACTCCGGGTGGCTCGGCTTGCGTGTAATAGTAGATCAGATCTTCCAAGGCGCTTTCTCTCCTAGGCCCGGCGCGAGCGGCGTGATCCAGGGCGAGGCTGTCCTGCCGCAGTGGGGAAAAGTCGATGTAGCCTCCACGATACAGGACACTTCTGAGAGTGCACTGTCTCTTCTCAAGTCCGACATAGAACTGGTCGCCTATAGGAGGATCAAGCAGGATGATCGCTGTTTCAGATTCGTCAGCACTTGAGATGTGAGCCGGACTGTTGAGGCAAAGACATACCGTCCCATCCTTCTCCCTTTTCTCGTGCTCTGAACCAGATACTTGCAGTCTTCCGGACAATGCCAACGCCATCGAACTCCCCGTTGAACTTCGATACGCTAACTCTCCGCGGCTGGTCCATCACCCGAAGCTCCCAGTCACCAATAGCATCTGCGAATTCTCGCAGCTCGTGGTATCTAATGCAGAACGATTCTCGCGAAGTCGGATGTGAAGACAGCAGCGGGACATCTCGCATGCCCTTGTTGGTGTGAAGGGGCATGCCACTGAGGATCTGGCGAGCGAAGAAATTGGGATCGATGTTGAACGCAGCGCCGAGGGTTTCGATGTAGTTTGATGGCAGACCTTGCATTATGAACAAGCGGCGGGTGCAGTTGTGATGGTTGGTCATATACTTCTGGAGCTGTGTTGAGGTATAGAAGCGTTCTGCTGCCGCAACAGTATTTCGGAACTCGACCACAGCAGCAGCGCCTTCTTCTGTAGGCTGACACAGGATTCTGGCGAGGCTGGAGAGATTTGGATGGTTCCTGCTCATTGCACTCACCAGTCGGGTATAAGGCCTAATATCTGAGTTGATAGATTCAGCCCCCTGACTGTCAGGATTGCTGTCGTATTTCTCCATGGCTACAACGGATACTCGACTTGATCGAAGGCGTACAGACCAGGGGCTTGCAGAGTTATACAAAGCCGTCAATCAGTCAGAGAGGGACGACCCTGCTCTTCATGATATTTGTACCGGGTCCATTGCGTGACGCCTTGACAGCTGCGCCTGAAGTACAATCCATTCGGGCGCCGACTGATGAGTCGTTGAACCGAGGCTACAACTCGCAGCGACTGTTGGTTGACTGATGCCATCCGTACCAATTGAAGATTGCCGTCGACGCATGGGTCGTACCGATGGATTGCAATAAGTGAGGCAGAGTTGCCTATCCGCCTTCTTGCTTGCGTATTCGATCAGGTTCGCGAACCGGGACATCCATCTGCCAAGGCGGGCTGTGCCAAGTGATAGCGACCGAGAGCCGGCTCGGGCAGAGAAAGCTACTCCGTACTGTATAGCAACATCGCATATCTCCGCATTACACCACAGTCCTTTGTACGCTTCACCACTAGACAATTAGTTCAGTTTCGGTGTCAATATCCGAGGCGACGTTGATGTAGAATGGCGTGTATGACACGGTTACTGCAAGAGTCATCGTTCAAGTCAGCTGTACTCCCTTTATGAAAATGTCGACGAAAGACACGGACATCCAGAAGCCGCCATCAAGGCGGGGTATATGTTGGTTGTGTTGGTTGAAATCTCAAGCTCACTGTGGCACGCGAGACAATGAGGCAGCAGTATTGAGGTACGGCAACTAATACCGAGTGCCTCTATCTCGAACCTTTACACCACGTGAGCACAGCAATGACTCATCATCAGGAAGAACCACCTGGGACTGGATTTCATGCCAGCTGGGTGTTCAAAATGAAGATATTTTCCCATCAACATATCTCACTGCGTGGTTTTTTTGAGGTTGCGGATGGCGTGGCGGTTTTCTGCTGTGGGAAACTTGCAAACACGAACCCCTCCATTCCTCGTGAGGTCAAATCTCCACGCCAACGAAGGCGACCTACCAGAGAAGACACCTACCATTCGCCGGTGGCCGTGGTTGGGCGACGTGAAATAGAAAGAAGACGCGTCGAGCTCAACGCGTTCTGTCTGCGCGTGCCAAGACGATGACGCCCATTCAAACTTGTCTCACCCACCCACTACCCTCTTCCTGCTTTTGATACAGACCTCTTGACGAAACATGATGGCGAAGAAGCCGGATACAACTAATACCCTTGCCAGACTCCATACCCGTCGACGTCACCGCACAGAAATGTCCGTGAGTGTTAGAGGTACCTTGAAGTGGCACTCATTCAAGGTTCAGCGTTGACCCTGTCTGCAAATGAGCCCAAACGCACCTCTGGACATTACCTCAGTGTTGCTGTCCTATCCCCGATGCTTTGGCATTCAGAACATGACCTTGTCCGACCAGCAACCTGCCGGCCCCTCAGCCAAAGCCGAGCACTTAGTGGGCGCGAACGATGTCTTCAGACGATCAGCATTGATCCGGAACCTCACGATGAAGAAGGGCAAAACACAGCTCTGACGGTGACATCACAGTCTCTGGAATGCACGTCTTTGATGCAAACCCGGCCACTGTCTCCCTGACATTCTCCTTCAAGTCTGGACGTCGGTGCTCCTCTCGTGCTGAACTCAGCACTAAAGGGACAGGGCTCTACTGTGAGACTGGAATAAAATATCAGAGCTGGCGGCAGGCGAGTCATGTTGAGTTCTCCCCTGGGCCAATGTTACTTTAGCAAAAACCTCGCTAACTTCATGCGCTATTTGTCAGGTATACGGTCCATGCTACTTTGCTATCGCAGCACGCTACGGTAGCTGCCTACAACGAACAGCGAACAAATTCCATGCTAGTCCAGCCCGCCTGTCGACCCACTGTGTGGCTGCCCTTCTCGCTAAGCTTCATGTCGAGCTGGCTGCGATGGGAACGATCACGTGAGATCATCACCCCCCCGCACCTGCCGCGGTCACCCAGCGGTCGATTACATTGGAAAATTGGTCAGCAGAGCTAGCAGGGATCCATGCCCCAGATCTACTGGGTACTTCGGTCGTTCCCTCCCAGACTCTCATGTATATCCTCATGCTCTTGTGTTCTCCATACAATCGCACAACACCATGACATCTCGAGCACCTCTACCCCGTTTCCACTTTGTCGACGAGAACGATCCTGAGAAACGACATAAATCCCGTGCACATCTCGCAAGAGAGCTGCACAGGATGAAACGCCAGCGCTGGAAAATTGATCAGGCCAAACCAAGAACAATCTCCCGAGCAAACTGCCAGTTCGATCAATTCAACTGGCCACTTGAAGTTGCGATCAAGGCAGCTTCTCCCACAGTGGAGATCCCCTCGAACTTGACAACCTTGGACCAGTCTCTTCTTCATCATTGTATGTCCTCCAAAAAGCGCTTACCTTCAGCCGCTGAGCTTCCCAGATACGGCCATTATGCCAGAGCTATACAAGGCTCGCTGGAAACTCGTTGATGACGTGCCTCCGGTTGCAATGGCCCCAGTCACCGACCTGTTCCAGTTGTACTGTCGCGACGAGATATCATTCCAGGCAATCTTGTTTGACGCAGCCAGTCACCGCTCAGCCCTCCAGGGCAAGCCAGCGCCTCTTGAATACGAAAACCGCCTCTTGCGGGCCATCAGATCCAATCTTCACACGGCCAAGATTGGCGTAATCCTGGCCACGGCGGTCCTCTGCAACATCAAGTGCATGGACGGATCAGGCGGCTCCTCGCACTGGCTTGGCTTGAAAGAAATGATAAACATGCGCGGCGGGCTTTGTGCATTCAAGAGGGACCATCTCTTGTTCACGAAGCTGGTTTGGTCCTTCCTCGCGCTGCCTGGGCCTTTGACAGGGTTCGACTTTGCCTCGGACCTCGATCGTGGAGTTCAAGATCTCAACGATCTAGTTCGGTCCCGTCAGAAAGCCATTGTCAACCTACTACCGACCTCGGAGGAAGACATGGATCGTTTGACCGACTCCAGGCGGATAAAGGCATTCAAGTCCTCGAAGCTCCGAAGCCTCCTGCAGCCACGATCATTAGAGCACCCAACAGAGCGTAACTGTCGTATTGCAGTCATCCTGTTTCTCACCTCAGCACTGATGCTCTATGGTGACTTTGATTCTGGTACCGACTTTTTCATCGAGAATATCAGTCGACACCTACAAGAAGTGGATGATAATGCCTCACTGTCACCGCCACACCTACTGTGGTTTATCGCTCGGTTAAGCAGCATGCATTCTACTGGGGACAGATACGCTCAAATCTGGGTTGGCGTCATAAGGATGTCAACTGCGTTCCATCGATTGGCCGCTGCAGCACAAGACAAGGCAGAAATGCTGCTGTTCACTTCGCTTGAAATGCCTGAAACGTTCGACAATATACCTGTGCGGTGGAGATTGGGCGGAGAATTACGCATCGATGCAGAAGACGTCCACCAATCTATGCAAGATCGCTCCGTCCCTGCAGAATGTTTCTGCGAGCTACTTTGGTTTACTGAGCCGCCAAGTGAATGACGCGGATGTGTCTGCTCAATCTCTCAGCACCTTTCGCAATCCCGATCAACATTCAGCTGCGATTACCCTCATCCAAATCCTTGCCTTCTTCCCAGGTCCCATGGTCGTCGAAACATGTATGGGACGCAATCAGCACGTCTGTTGCGTTCAATACGCCCGGTTTCGTCAGCAGCATCTCATGCAGGCTTTGACTTAATGCGGTTTGCCCATATCAAGACCAGCCCAGCCGTAGCAGCTTCGGGCTCCGGGCGGACAGTGAGCAAGGGTGAAACCGAACGTGATGTCCTGTTTACTGCTCCTCAAACGGCCATCCAATACTGAATACACCCGCGTCATCTCGCTCGAATACTGTTCATTGGCAGGTGGGATCTTTATGCGAATGCTGCCGTCAAAAGAGGCCCCCAACCCTGCTCGGGGGCTAAAGCACCACCGGTTCGGAAGAAAGTTGGACAATATCACATCAGCAGCGACTGCAAAAGGACCGCGGTCATACAAGCCCGATTGAAGAGCTTATAGTTCACACTTGCCCCGCGCAGGCATCGCAGCCGAGAAGCGTCAATATACTGCTCCATCACGTACTGCAGAACAGCTCAGATTCCCATAAATGGATTTGGTGGCCGTCAGAAAAATTGTCGGTGAGAACAGTATTTTGCCCATTGGAGGTGAGCTTCAGGTACTATGCCCCCTTTTGGGTTCGGTCTACACAGTTATAAACGAAAGCTTAGGGCAACCCTGGTTCTTGATGTGTACACACGCATGGGATTTGACTCCATTAGCGGTCAGAGTCGTGTACCGCATCAGAAAGGGGCCACGGGGAACGGCCGTGCATGGCTTCGGCAGCACCTCTATGCACAGCTGCGGCCACGTCGCATATTGCGGCAGGAATAGGTTGGCACCATCTCAGATCCTTGTTGTTGGCATGCCGGGCATATGCCTGATAGCTATTGCCACCTCTTGGTTGTCTGTGGAGGGCGACAGTATTGTACATCAAATTCAACGCCGACGGACGAAATATTCATTTGTCAACAAGCGGCAAAGCATACAAGCCGTGTTGATTCTGCCAGCTCCCGCTGTACAGAATCGACATTGGCAATGCGGCATTCCTCGCCTCCCTCAAATTTATCAAGCAGCAAGATGACCTTGACCTCGCTTCTGATTAACCGCAGATCCTTTGGGTGCGAGTACGAGAAGTCTAGCCGATTACTAGCCGACTGTGGTCGAAGGATACGAGAAGCCGAGCCACCTACTAGCCGAGTGTGGAGATACGTGACATAGTTGTTACTTCCCAATCGGGTCCAACCAGGGTGACTAATTCGAGCCGGTTCCTGAACCGATACAAGGCGTCAATCGGCACATATTTCGGCACGATGATTGACGAAATTCGTCCGTTTGGCCTTCGAAGCAACATGCTTGATGGGTCATCTGCATTGTTAAGCACAGTGCCGACGATGACGACCTGGGCTCTGCCTTCGAAAGGAACATGGCATACAAAGCTGGAAGGACAAGGCGTGTTGCCGCCAGCGTCGTTGGGAAAGAGTTCCCCGTCGAGGTCTGAGCACACCAATACATTGACCCTGGCGAGCAGCTATCCAACGACAACATTGATCAGGACGACGTTGCTGCCCGAGCTCACTTCATCAGCCGTGTCCACCATCAGCCTGAAGATGACTCGGTTTCAAGATTGGGAGGCCCAGCTGGTGCCGACAGCGAATGGAAGGATCTTCTTCCGTTACGCCGGCAAAGGTCAACCGATCCTACTCCTTCATGGTGTGCCACAGCATTCGGTACGGCAGTATATTGCAAGGGGTTTATTCGATGCACGAAGCTGACTAGCTGACAGCTCATGTACCACTCCATCGCGCCCGCGCTGCTGTCGAAGGGCTTCCTCGCTATCGTCCCAGACCTACCTGGCTTTGGCCAATCCATTGTCAACAAAGGCACCGCGCTAACATCCAGGAATGCCGCTGACGCGCTCCACACGGTCATCAAGTTTCTGGACTTGAGGAATTGCACGTATTCGCGTTTGACAAGGGAACTGGTCCTGCCATTGTCTTAGCTCGCGACTATCCCGACATCATCAAGGGTCTTATCATAGCGGAATACTCGCTCCCAGGCTTCGGTCACGAGATTGCGCAGCAACCAAGCCGCGTTCAGACTATCTTTGACCACTGGCATCTTGGTCTTTTTACTCTTCCCGAAGTGGCCGTCTTCCTTATTCGCGGCCGTGAAGAAGAATTTCTTACGTGGTATTACTGGCATACCTCCTACAGTGGCCACAACGCACTACCGGACGAGTTGTTCCAACAGTACGTCAAAGAATGGCGCCGACCAGGAGGCGTCGAGGCTGCTGCCGAGTTCCTTGGAGGCTCAGTCTGGGCAGACATGGAAGAGTTTGACTGCTTCAAGAAAGGCACGAGGCTTCAGCAAAAACTGCTCGTGATGGGTGGCGAGGCCAGTATGGGCAGAGATGGCATCTTAGAGGCTTCCTGGAATGGTGTCAGCGCCGAGCCCCTCGAGACAGTGATTGTCCCCAAGTCGGGCCACTGGATTGACAACGAGAACCCGCAGTTCGTGGCTGAACGAGTGGCGAAGCGGATCGGTCAACTCGGCAAACCTATCCAAGACGTGGACTTCAGCTGGTTGAACGCCAACTACAAGGACAGAATTCAGGCTGTCGAAGCCGCTGTGAAAAGGGTGACCACCGGCCCTGCCGTAGGAATACATCAGCCGGGCACGAGAATGTAGTGCTGAACGGATGCGGTACATAACGCCTTTATGGTACCTCCAGTGCTTTGATTGACACGATACCAGGACAGGTGCTACCACCGACAATGCGACTTAGGCTGGCGTTTCCTATTGGTTTTTGTGCAATCCAAGACCTAGCAGATATGGCATGGCATGCATAGCCATCAGAGATGAATGCCACGCGGAGCTAACCGCCATTGTGCTTCTTCACACATAAGCCCCAATGGTGCCAGACTGCACACACACAGGAGCTGAACAGGCGGATGGTGCCGGCCCCTTTATTAGTTGCGCTTAACACCGTGGTGTGTTCATGCGAATACGACTGGCAGAATTGATTGGCGGCCCCGGTACTGCACGTAACTGTAGTACAGACTATGTACGGACTGTTCTGCCTTGCGTCCCAGCCCGATATACCCCCCCTCCGATTCCCTTCCATCTCCATGATGACGGACACGGTGGTAGAAGCAGACAAAATATGACCGGCGCGTTGATTTATTCTCGGCAGTCTCTCTCCACAGCCGCAATCACAGACACTCGGGTCTGCCACTGGATCAGCCAGTCTAGACATATAATGCGGAAAGCAACCACAGCCTCGCGGGACGGCAAATCGAAACTCGGCCACCATCCACCTATCTCGGTGCTGTCGAGTGACACCACGCATCACAGCGCAGCACCTGCACTAGATCCTCGCAGGGCGCTCGAGGGTCGCGAGCTCAACCCAGGATTTCGTATCCTCAAATACCAGCGCTCCGACAACCACCGGGATGTGTTCTTGGGGGCGCGGACGCGGACGGGGACGAGGCTAACCACGCAGATGCGGACCACGGATTGCGAATCGACACCGTCCTCATATGAGGCCAAGGCCGTTTGATCTCGAGCTCTCCAGGCCAGAAATCAAGGCCTATCACCAGAAGCATATCAAGAGGCTGAAAGCGACGGCGTCGTACGTGTGCGTCATGGACGAGTGGGCTCTGAAGTGGGGTGGGTTAGGTGGGTCGGGTGCTCGAATGTCATTGTCCCGGTTAATGACACAGTCACAGTCATAGTCACAGTCCGAGGCTCAGTCCCAGGTAAACACGCAGTCAATGGCGACGTCACGGGGAGCGGCGATGGCACTGGCACGAGGAGCAGCAATGGCGTGGGCATGACGCCGGACACAGCTCTCTGTGATGACTGGTTCTCGTTCAATGACCACCAAGGAACCACTGCCTCGAGCAATTCTCGGCCCAGCAATCCTTTGTCCAAGGTTCTCGATAGGCAGCAGTGCCGCGGCGAACGCGTGGGTGTTTGCTTCTTTATGCACAGGTCCGCATGTGATTCGAGCCTTTGTGACCGTGTGTCGCGATTGGCTTTGGGACCTCCCTCGAACTTCTGGCTCCGCGGCCACGACATGATTGTTGTCTCGGACAATGAGCGCGTGTCATCACGAATGACGACGTCCAGATGGCCTTACGAGGACGAAGAATGCTCCATATGCCATATTTATGACATGATGAAATGGCAGATATCCCAGCGGAACGAAAGCCTCGTTGATGGCTTCGACTTTAGGCCTCAGCCGGGCCTATATCGACCCGGTGCCGGCCTGAGTCAATCTGGGTGTCCCAGGGCAGGCAGAATGCTGGAGTGCATTCACGCTCTACTTCATTTTGGGCTCCTGCGAGTCCTGCATCGGAGTACGTGGTACATACACTAATCTCCCGAAGTCATATGATGCTCGGCCGGCGTCCTGTCCCCTCGAGTTCATCTCTTGCTCTCCGCGGTGACGGGCGCGTGTTGTTTGACATGTCGCGGTGGTCATCAACATGGGGACGGATATTAGGCCAAGTTGTAAAGAGGCTTGCAATAGTCCGCTTAACCGTGCACGTGATTCCGTCCTACCGTGCAAACCGCCATCTTGATATTACTACCATTCGCGGCAGCCCTATACTCCCTAATCTACGAATAAACCCGTATTGCCAGCTACACAGAGTGTCCCGGAATATGCTCATCACACATTTGTGTTCACTCTGCAACGCCTTTTCTGTCCAGTCCTTGTAAACTGCCAGAGCTGACCGGCTCGACGTAGAGGGAAAAAACTGAGGAGGTGGCATTAGTCCTCTTTGAATAGGTACCTAGACACTTGACCTACAAAATGCCATAATTGGAAATACACGGACAATACCTGCAGGTGCCTGAGCTACGTAAACAGCCGGAATGGAAAACTTGACTGGTTTGACTCAAGGAAAAGAAAACTGATGATGAAACATCAGTCCTCCTTGAATACAAACGCCGTAATACGGGAAAACGAGAGGAAAGATGACCGCTCGCTTACAATGCCCTTTGTCCCTTGTTGGGAATCCCCTGTCGGTGATCCATATCTCAAAACCATGCGTGATCAAACACTCGAACGACCTCTTTTCGTGCAGAATAAACTGTTAAGAATGAACAGTCGGCTCAGCCTTCTTCTCCTCTTGAGCTTTTGATGTCGGGGGATGTCGTGTGCAACGCCTCCCATGCCGTTTGAGGTGATCCTTTCGCTTGTAGGACTTTCCACATGCACAGCGAAAGGAACACTGGCTCAAACCGCCGTGAATTGTTATCATGTGGCGGTCAATGGTGCGTCGATCATCCTTCAGGGTAACCCGACAGCCCGGGAAGCCACAGACGACGCGTCTGTGCCGAGCCACGTGGATTCTAACATTGGTCAGACCTGTGATCTGGGCAAATCGGGTTCAAGTCGAGGCCACTTACTCGAACCGTCGCGCCTCTAGGGAACCCGACCCGTAACGGTCATTGCAGTGCGGGCATTGGAGGGCGAGGTTTGGGGCAAGACAAGCTGTTGGCATGAGTTCTGATTCGCCTTTGCCTCTCTCCCTGTTCTGTGGCGGCGCACAATCGACCGACATTTCCACGGTCGTATCCTTGGATGCCTTGGACGAAGGCGTTGTGCTCGAGTCGATCGAGCACGCGACATCCTCAACAAGGATGGGAAATCCTTCCGGGAGATCACACTGACAGCCAATGCCAGGGATGCTGTTGCACGTGACACAAGGGGCATCCAGAGGAAATTCTCCGTACTGGAGCTCTGGACTTTGCGCTGCGGAATTGTAGACGGTCTCGTGCTGGTCAAGACTCTTGACGGAGCTCGAATGCTGAGGTGTGAAGACAAGGCTTGTGGGCTGGGGAGTGTCGTCGAAGGGTTCAACTACATGAGATGTGAGGTAATGATATTCCTGATCGGCACAAAGGGCATTGTAACGTATTAGCAGGGCATAGTGACTGTTACGAATGACGGCTGTGCGAAGACAAGATGTCTCCGCGCAGGTCCGTCACCCGGGCTGCGGGTTGGGTGATTGCCTGTCACCTTGAAATCAGTATACAATGCGTGACACGGAGCTCATAGGAGATCACGCACCCTTGGGCTTTCTTGCTGGCTCAAACAGCTGCGGTTGTACCGCTTGCCGAGGGTCGAAGAGACCCTCCTGTCCACGGTGGACGGCAACAGTGAAGGACAGACAGATTCCATGGCGAGCAGAGGCCTGAAGACCATTAAATGAAGTGGACCTGCCCAGCCCATGCCGCCTCCCACCTGAATCGGCCGCTGCCTTTTTGCATGATCGGCTGGGTGGACACTCTTCTCCCATTCGAAAGAGACGGCACTCCGCGTTTGGGGCTCTTCACCAAAGCCAATCGCTTAGTGGCCTGTTCGCCTCGTTAGGCTGGTCAGTTCGTGTTCTCTCTTGCTGGTTGTGCTGGCAAAGAGCTCCAGGCTCAATGGCCTGTCAAACAGGCCCAGCCCCCTCTCAAGACCCTCATCCTACATCGGGGTTCAGCTTCGTCTCCAATGGTTGTGCTTGTGCTTGCATATGAACACGGCTGGTGCGGCTGTAGTCTCCAAACAAGCACCGAGCTGTGCTGATCAGGATGAGGTAAAGCGTTGATTGCAGTTCACAAGCCTGACATCTCTGATCGTCCCAAACATGTCCATTGTCCCGGATCAATTACACGGCTGATCTGCAGTGCGGACACTTGCGCACCTCTAGGCCCAGACCAGCGCTCCTGGGGCCGTCCACAAAATACTGTGAACAAAAAATTCCAGGAGCCTGTGCAACCGTGAGGCTCACGCCAAGGTTGCTGGCTTTGGGTGAGGCCATCAACCGGATCCATGGAATTGGTATTTGATTTCCTGATCTCGCGTCCTCGGTAATACGACGCCTTTACCGACAACCTCTGGATTCGACACTGTTGCCTTCGAGGTTCAAAGAACCGACATGCGCAAGCAGCCAGGTGAGTGAGACGATCGTCCACCTTCGGCGCGATTGAACGATGGATCCGTCGGCTGGAGGACACCGCTGGGATACGAAGATGCTGTCCTATTTTAAAAAGGTAGGCATGAACTGCATTGCAGGACGCCTAGGATAGAAGCCGTCATCTGCCCCAGCGATATGTCTGCGAACCAAAGTGAGAAGAAGACGAAGAGCCTCCGAGTGCAGGGGACTTTCTTGTCAATGCAGCGGTTCATGGCCGAGGACTCCAGGAAGCAGCCATGGAGCACCGTCCACCTCACCAGCGATACCGGTTTCCACTGTGTGCACATGGCAACTACAGCAGCATCACAGACATCTACCGCATTGCCACACTCGTCGAGGGCGGGCACGACCGGCTCAGCGAAGTCGGAAGTAGCTGGTGAGATCAAGACTCGCCAACCATGCTCTGAGCTCAACCACGATTCCAACAAGACACATCAACATGGCAATGGGAGCCACCAGGACAACAGCAAGCACAACCATGAGTCCAACGCTCCTTGCAACCGCGCCGATTCCCCGCCATCAATCCCCTCGGCTCAATCTTACGGCGATCCTTCTCAGAGGCGAGAAATCCAGCGCCGCGAAGGGTCTAAGAACCATGACCTGCTGTACATCGGGTATATGTTTGCAGATGCAGGGACGGCAGGCGCAAAGCCATCACGAAACGAGGGAAACAAGACCAAGGGGCTCTTAAGTCCAAGCACAACTCTTGGCTCGATGGCGGCGAATTGCGGGCCGAGAAGGTCATGCTGAGCGGGAAGAGAAGAGGTTGTCTTCTCGCTTAACAAGGCACAGGGTACATACAAGAGTCGGTTCGATCACCTTATGTGACCACTACGCCCATGTCGTACTATTGGCATAGACCTCGAGCTCTTATACAAGATGTTGCAGCTGAAGTGGGTGATCACCCCACTGCCAGCAACCTCCTTGTTCACAGTTCATGTGCTGATGGTGCCAACTCCTTTGATAGTGCCACATTCTGCTTGCCGGTTATAATCCTACACAATCAGATGCATCATAGCCTCATGCTCATAATGTCTATATTCATCCCATGCTGCCCGAAGTGCCAGCAATGCTCAACTGTGCTAGCTCAGTTGTCCACTCCTATGTGGACGTTCTTCTCATCCTCGGGAATGACCTTCTTCTCCTTTTCACCCTGCAGGTTCGGCAACTCCTCCACGGCCTCACCAATAATCCTCAATGCATGCTCGATTTCATCTTGAGTGATGACAAGCGGTGGAGCAAGGCGGATGATGTTCTGATGTGTTGGTTTGGCCTAGTTCCCATGTTAGCAAAAATAAACCCCGACGGGAGGGCCATGCTAAGTGGTAAAAGAACCCGTCAGGCCCGCCGTTACACTTACCAGCAATCCCTTTTCTTTCATCAACATGCACAAATCCCACGCACTGTGTCCATTCGTCTTCTCTTCATCAATCACAATAGCATTCAGCAGTCCTTTCCCTCTTATCGTCGTGATGAGCGGAGATTTCAAATCTTGCAGCCCATCGCGGAAGATCTGTCCTAATCTCTCAGCTCGCTCGGTCATCTTCTCGTCACGGACGAGCTCGAGAGCGCGGATGGCGACCGCACAGCCCAGTGGATTGCCCCCGTACGTTGATCCGTGTGTGCCAGGCTCGACTGTGAGCATTACGTCCCTGCGGCCGAGCACACACGAGACCGGGTACATGCCACCTGAAATGGCCTTGCCGAGTAGGACCATGTCTGGCTTGATGCCAGCCCACTCGTGGCAGAGCAGCTTCCCAGTGCGGGCGATGCCAGTCTGGATTTCGTCGCAAATCAGGAGAACATTGTGCTTGTCACACAGTTTGCGAATTTCATAAAGGTAGTTGTCGTCAGGAACCACGATACCGGCCTCGCCTTGGATAGGCTCAACGAGGAAACCTGCAATTTTGTCGCCGTGCGACTCGAAAGCCGTTCGGACAGCTTCGACATCGTTGTAAGGGATCAATTTGCCAGTTTTTGGACAGAAGCTACCGACGCCAGGGAGGTATGGACCGTAGTTATCCCGGGACTCGGGGTCTGTGGACATCGAAATGGCCGAGAAGGTCCGCCCGTGGAAGTTCTCTGCCACGCTGAGGACGATAGCCTCGCCCTGAGCTATGCCTTTGGATTTGTAACCCCATTTCCTGGCGATCTTGATGGCTGTCTCCACCGCTTCGGCACCCGTATTCATTGGCAGGACCATGTCGAAGTTGAAGTACCCGGTAACGAACTCGGCGAAACGAGGGAAGACATCGTTGTAGAATGCTCTCGAGCTCAGTGTTAATGTCGATGCCTGTTCGACTAGAGCCTTGACGAGTTCGGGGTGGCAATGTCCTTGGTTGACGGCGGAGTAAGCAGAGAGAAAGTCGAGATACTGGCGGCCTTCGGGATCCCACACCGTTGTCCCTAGTGCTCGGGCAAAGACGACAGGCAAGGGGTGGTAATTGTGTGCGGCATACTCGTGTTCGGCATGAATGGCTTCTTCGGATGATGAGGCATGATATTTTGACCGATGAACACCTGCGTTCACGCTGCCAGCGGGTTGGAATACGGGAGCCGTTGGTTTTAACTGGGAGCCATTGGTAATGCCATTCGCACTATCACTGGTCGTTGCGGAGGGTGCCATCCTGCTTGGTAGTGTGGTTGTGCAGCAGGATTCTCAAACGTTTGGTGTGCACGGTAATGAGGCGAAGCTGATTGGCCAGTAAATTGGTTGATACTGAAAGAATGCAGGTGGACTTGTGCTTTTTCCGGCAGTGAAATAATCGTTCTGGCCGTGGAAGAGGCTGTGGGCGAAGTCAGAATATGTACTCGATCATCACGGAGTCCACCTTAGGTCATGTGCAGAGATTTCAATTCACTTACACAATTGGGACTCTTTCTGATGTGGTATGCTATGCCTCTAAGTGCAGGTGTATCCCTAAGGGAAGGAGAATGATCGCTAAAAGCAAGGTTAAGCGTCGCCGCACGTCTGGCCTGCGTAATGTGGACGCGAGATGGGACTGGCTCGAGACTGGTGAGGCTTGCTGGTTGGTCTGTTGGGCGGCCGTGATGAGCGTATGCAAGGGCAAAAGAATGGGAAGAGGAGGGGTTGCTCGAGGGGCAAATGGGATGCTGCCCCGCTGACGACGCCCTTGGCCTTGCAGGGCATCTGCGGCTAAGCGCGGGACAAGCCAAGCCAGGCTCTCTGGGCTGTCCGCAGGCACTTGCGTCTAGTTCTTGAGAGTACGGAGTACTGCACACAGCATCAGGCACTCTTCTAACCGGTAGCTTCAAAGATGGCCTCACTCAAAGGGCCAGGCGCCGCTCAGAAACACGATGGCTCTGGCTTGCGGATCGCCATAGTACACGCCCGGTGGAATACCACGATGATCGATGCCTTGGTCAGTGGTGCAAAGAAAGCCATGCTGGCTCAGGGCGTGAAGGAGGAAAACATCGTCGTCGAATCGGTACCCGGCTCATACGAGCTCCCGCTCGCCGTCCGGGGAATCTACCAGGCATCGCAAATACAGAGCACAGCGAGCACGGTTGCTGGGGGCGTGGGCAACCTCGCAAGCGGAATCGGGGACCTTCTCGGAGGAAGCAACTCAACCACGGATTTGCATGGCAGCCTGCAACCAGGACCTCCGGAGCCAGAGAAGAAAGAGGCCAAGGGATTGAGACATACCTTTGACGCCATAATAGCGATTGGTGTGCTGATAAAGGGCGAAACAATGCACTTTGAATATATCGCCGATGCGGTGAGCCATGGCCTCATGAGGGTACAGCTGGACACGGGCGCGCCTGTTATCTTCGGCTTGTTGACAGTGCTGAACGAGGGTCAAGGCCTGGCGAGAGCCGGTCTTGAAGGCGGCACAGGGAAAGAAGCAAAGGGACACAACCATGGCGAGGACTGGGGCAATGCAGCTGTTGAGCTTGGAGTCAAGCGCAAGGGCTGGGGAGAAGGCAAGATTGCTGGGACGTGATACAACAAGATCAGCCGCCGTGCCTGCCTGTCCCAGCGCCGAGAGAAAAGTTTTGGTGTCCGCCGAAGGCTTGCAGCGAGCTCCAGGGCCACACGGGTAGACCACATACAGCCTCTACTTCGGCAGCTCTGAAAAGATCGACCTCTTGACCATATCGAACGCCAACAATGCTACAATGCCGACGCGGCGGGACCCATTACTCCTGCATTGCATCCTCTTCCTCGTCGTCATCATCGTCCCCTTCCAGATTCTTCTTGGCTGTTTTCTCAGCCTCTTCGAGTAGCTCTTGTGGCACTTGCTCGTGTCGACCCTTTGTCGGCCCATCCAGGCTAGAGATCCAACTCATTTCGAGCTCGAACTCCTTATCTTTCGAGTCTTCATGTGCGACATAAATGATCCTGGCGGCTTCCATGACCGCATCTTTGAGGGTGAGAGCGCAGGTAGGTGAACCTAGGTCCAGCTTCTCCAACTCGGCCTTTGCAGCTTGTCGTCCTTTGCCAGTTGCAGCACCATAGTAGCCCTGGGGATTTTGTCAGTTTGAGCCTTTCTTTCCATCCTCATGTGCGTACCCAATAGAGACCACTCGGCTCAACCATGTAAAGACCAGGACCACCTCGCTTGGTTGTTTCGTCGTCAGACTTGCCACCTGAACCCGATTTTGGACCTTCTCCGACCTGACCGTCAACACCCAGCTCAGCTTCTGAGTCCCAACCTCCCAAGATAGCTGTGACGCCAAAGGGCCGTACGCTGGAGTAGAGGGTGTATGCTTGCACATAGCTCCCGATTCTCGATGCTAGGGCGGAGGTGGGAATGGGAGCTTTGTAAGTTTGTCTCCAGCTGCTCGCCTCGTCTCTTGCTCTGTTGATGAGATGACGACCATCTGGTAATAGGCCTGAAGTAACAATGCCTGCATTGCGGTCCACTGTGGAGATCCGTCTATTGGCACCGGGCTTCAGTAGCTTCGAGGTGATGATCTTCTCGCAAGCCAGAACAACTCCGTGCTTCGTCCGGATGCCAATGCAGGTACCGCCATTTTCTACTGCTTTTACCGCATACTCCACTTGAAAGTTTCGACCATCGGGTGAGAAGACGGAGTTGGAGAGGTCATAGCCAGTGCCTATCGACGTCTGGACAAAACACCGTTAGCACCGTACGAGACCAGAACAACATCGCAATACACACCATTTTGGCCAAGAGCTCTGAGAGAGGGACTTGTTAGGACCGCAACCTGAAGTTCAGTGAAAGACAGACCGAGGCGCGTTGAGTACGTTGCTTCGGGTGCCAACAGGAATCTCTGTGAAGATGCAACTTTATTGCTGGGTGCGCGCGCCTTGCACTGGCAGGCACTCGTGATGCCGCGTTTCTCAGCCTTGTTCGAAGCACTAACGCCTTGGCGCGAGGCTGAAATTGATCGGAGGGTTTAGGTTGGGCAGCGACGCAACGTGTCATCACCTTCCTTATGTGTCGTAATCCTCAGACAGGCTTCTCCCTTCGCACTTTCCTCGACTTATCTTGATCAAATACCGTCCTCCTTGCCATCCTTGAAGAATTGCCTCTCATCTACGCCAGCTGGTTCTTCACGCTTTAATGTTGAGCTGAGAACCGCCTTGCGTACACCGCCGACTTGCAAGAACTCGGTTCGAAGCCACCCTACCCCGCTCCTTCCCTCATCCTTCCCATCCTCTCCCATCTTGACCCTGTCTTCACAAACAGATCAACAGCTTCCTTGTCCAAGGCCTCTAGGACCACACAACCCCGTGGACTGGATCTCTGGATCCTTGGATATCGGTGTTTGTCCTGGAACTTCGGCGCCGCTTGGACCACGTCTCCCGGATCCGGACACCACAGGCCTGGATCTCCTGGACCTCCTGTAGCAGAGTGTTGTTAGTTAGTACAATACGAATTTGAAGCCTAAATCCTCGAATTTTTGCTTCCTCCTCTTCCTGCCTGGTTGTCGTTGTGTTGCAGACAAGGGATCTCTGACCGCTGGTGTTGCCATATCTGAGGTCGTCAGATTTCAGGAGTATGGCTTCTTCCGTCTTCTACAAATGCCACCACTGTGGCCTCGAGACGGATCTCTCGAACCATCTGGCGGCGTTTGAAGAAAACCCTCACTGCAGACAGGTTTGTTCGCATCCACTCCCGGTTCATGACCTTCTGATTCTTTGTGATAGTGCGGACTATCGGCCTCGGAGAGCGATATCAAGATGCAAGACGACCTCATCAATATGATGACTCGCAATCTCCAGCTCAGCCCCCCTCAGAACGATGTGTCCATGCCTCCGACACCGCAGGTCGTCCCCCAGTCCGCGCCTATTACGTACATCACTCAACACTATCACCACTCTGCTCATCAAGCACCGAATGATGTTCCTGTCTCGACCGTCCTCGAACGAGCCAGCATCGATATGTCGGCCCTTTTTCCTTCACAGTTGCAGCTGTTCAAGAATGCCGGTCCCGAGCAGAGAGCAAGATTGATAGAGCTTTGGCAGATAGCACCCCTTACTTATGGCAGTCAGATGCACCCTGACCACCTCAGCAACTGGCCAGAGACGAGCATAGAAAGAGAAGAGGAAGCTGCCAAGTACCGGCTGCAGATGGTGGAACAAGAGAAGTTGAAGAACCTCTGTGCGTTTCCTGGGTACGATACGAAACACAATGCTGAGCCCTATATAGTACATGGCTATGAGGCGTACCCCAATAGCAACGGAGTCACGGATCTTGGGACTGCAATGATGCAGCAGGAAGAGTACAAGAAATCAACAGATCCGGTGTACAACAGCCGAGAGTGGTGGCATTTGTCGGATGAGGAGCCCATCGAGCATCAATACGGTATGCTTCAACAGATGTGGGGCTATGGGATTGACTACTCCGCCGCGAGAAGAAGTGATGGTGACTCGGAGATGTCTTGAAAGACCTCCCGGAGTCAGAAACATCAAGTGGTGAGGGTGGCAGCATGCTGTTGGCGTCCGGCATTCTTTGGAACATCATGGTAGGAATTGCATAGATCAGATTGTATATAGCCTTGGGCTTCCGTATGTCGAGGAAATGGCAGATAACGATGAGTCGGAGCTCTAGCTTGGTCGTTCGAATAATTCTAACTTCTTATTCCCTCTGTTCGTTGAAGTGCACCTAGAGTTCGTCTCTTCAAGAACAATTTACCTGTAACCGTAGTCAATTCGCTAGGGTATGGGCCGAAACGGGATCCCGTACTCCGTCCTGCGCCCCGTAATTGGAGAATGGGACAAACAAAGGATAGCTCAAGCTAGACGATTAGAGCGCGGCGAGGGCACATTCGTAATCTGTCTCGAATGGACTGAAGACATGACGAGATATTGACAAGATTCTGTAGCTGTAGCTCTTCCATCCGTGGGTGGAGACGGTCGCGGTCATCTCGACTCAATCTCGCGAACCGATTCTGCTTCCTCTCCGAATGTCGATTGTCCCGTCCTCGTTCTCGCCACAAGGTCGGAGCCACGTTGCAGAGCTCAGGATGGCTTCTTCGATGAGCAAAAGAACGCAGGCACGAAATGAACGGGAGCTCCATCAACTACTGTCAGTCGCCGGAAACTCGCAGTGCGCCGATTGTGGTGCGAAGAACCCAGCGTGGGCAAGTTGGAATCTGGGCATATTTCTATGTATGCGATGTGCCTCGTTGCATCGCAAGCTGGGAACGCATATTTCCAAAGTCAAGTCCTTGAGCATGGACACGTGGACGTCGGAACAGGTTGAGGTGAGTTGACGGACTTCACTTTCGAGTGCCCGCGCATTCACTGACGACTCATTAGAGCATGAAGCGTAACGGCAACAATGCAGTCAATAAAGCGTACAATCCCAAGAATAAGAAACCCGACATGCCGCTCGACGCCGACGAAGTAGACTCGGCCATGGAAAGATTTATACGGAAAAAGTACCAGGAAAAGAGTCTGGCAGATGGGAAACCACAGCCTCCCCAGCGAGACGACAGTTCACCCACCGCTTACTCTCCGAGACCGCCTCTTGAAGACCCAGATTCACCTCCGCCTCCTGTTCCTACGAAGAAAGGCAAGATATTTGGATTTGGCCTGAGGGCGTCGTCGTCGGCGTATCCCTTCTCCAAGTCTGATAAGAAGAAAAAATCACAAGAACCTCGGGTGGATAGCGCGTTCCCCATACCTACCAGGGGCTACGATTCCAGAATGGACGACGCGCGCTATGAGATGACGGACGCGGAGCTGGAGCGAAAGTTGGCGACCCTGCGAGACATGGGCTTCACCGAAACTGAGCGGAACGCAAACCTGCTTCGACGGTTGAACGGCAATGTGGAGAGGGTTGTCGAGACTCTAGTTCGACTGGGACCTCGAGAGAATGGAGACACTACTTCGAGGCAGAATACCAGGTCGGCTTCAGCTCAAGCACCTCCCCCGACTTCTAGAGCTCCTGAGCCATCCTACAACCCTTTCACGCAGTCGGCGAGTCAGCCTACAATCGGCCTGTCATTAGGCAAGCCACATGAACCCTCGACACCGACAAGCACGACGACCTTTGGCAGCAACAATCCCTTTGCTCCGCCTGACCGTACGACGACAGGGCTTGAGCAATCGTTTCAATCAATGCAGGTATCACAGCAGCCTCAACAAGCATTGTTTCCTCACAGCACTGGGGGATATCCCAGTCAACCTGCCCCCATACAGGATCCTCGCTCTCAGTACTCAATGACGCCTCCAGTCACGTCGACGCAGTATCAAGACTTCGTGGCTTCGCCGCCAGCGCTTCCCGTTCCCAGCAACCCTTTCTTCCAAACGGCCTCACTTTCAGCTCAGTCTACTGGAAATAATCCATTCCTCACCCAATCCCAAGTACCTATGTCTCCGTCAACAAATCCATTCCTCAATCAAGGCCTCAATCAACCACCACAACCACCACAAAGGCAGGTCTCGCTACCTGCAAGCTTTAATCCTTTTGGCATTCCACCTACACAGACCTCGCCTGGGCAGCAGCAGCAGCAGCAATTCCAACCACAAGATCCCTTCGGTACGACTCCCCAGCAGACGACCCAGCAACAAAATGATCCTTTCCAGACGCAGGCCGCACAGCAGCAGGCTCAGCCAGCCGGTTACCAAACAGCACAGTCCCCATTTGGATTCCCTAACACCCAGTATGCGCAAGCTCAACCACAGGCGCCGCCACAACAGCAGGCTCAAGGACAAGCATCGCAATTTCTACAACAGCACCAGCCTTCTTACCAGCAACAATCAGAACAACAATATCCGCAACAAACTCAGCAGCCATTCCAGCAGTTCCAGCACATGCCTCAACAAAGTGGTCGCCACGACAAAACCTCCATCCTTGCACTCTATAATTATCCGCAACTTACGTCTCAACGCCTAGCGTCCATCCCCGAGCCAGCAACTGAACAGCAGCAACCCCAGCAACAGCAACCACAACAGCAACCACAACAGCAATACCAACAACAATACCAACAACAATACCAACAACAATTCTCGCCAATGCCATCAGATCCGTTCGGGAATTTGCCATCACCGAAACGGAGCGCGACCATGCCAGTCAGCTTATCGAACATGCATTCCGCAGGCGGAAGCGGGAATCGGAACCCTTTCATGACGAATACAAATGCTGCAACTCAGAACATGAGTGCAGCCATGAATCCCTTCGGTGGTGGTACGAGTCCGTTCGCATCACCTCCGCCCCAGCCTGGTCCGCAGGCACAAACCCAACCTTCACCATTCGGGCAAGCCCAAGCCCAACAACCCCAGCAGCGATACGCACATGGCCAGCAGACCAATCCGTTCGGCCAGGTCCAAGAGATCGGCCACGGCTTTGTCCCGGGCGGCGGTTTACCTGGCACGACGATCAATTACAGCCAAGGACAAATCTTGTCCACGCAGCAACGACCAGCGCAAGGGGTTGCAGCACGACATGCGAGCAGCGAGAGCATGGCAGTGAACAATCTTGACGCAGGAAGGCACAGTCCCGACGCGTTTGCGAGTCTAAGTGCACGGTATGGATGAGGGGGAGCACGCGGGAAGTAAACGGGACGTCGATTTGGACTGATCGCAGATGAACGGACGAGAATATCATGCGATTTTTGAATGCGACGCAATGGGGGCTACGGAGAGGCCCCAGGCTGGGGAGATACGATTTGTATAGTGACGACCCACGTGAGCGTGCACATGGCATATGGCATATAGCGTGATGGTAGCATGGAGTTTGACAGCGGGCGTGATGATGAGTGCTGTGTCGCAAAAGGTTTCTTTTCCAGTCTGTGGCGCCGAAAGGGAAAAAGAAAAATGATGATCTTGATGACCTCTGAACAGCCCGAGTCCATACAGCTACTTACTGTAGCTACCTCGTGTACACTTGGGAAACCCCATTAATCTGGACGGTTACAACGATGGTGCGAGGGATCCAGTGATGGGGGATGAGTATACAGTACCGTTGATCCGGCCCAACGCGACCAAGGGAATGAGCGTCGTATGTACGGAGTACCTCCATCTACTGTAAACTCCTTGCTTTTCCCTCCCTCCTGCGGTGTACGCGCTCTATGCAAATGGTGTTGCCATTGAGCACCAAGGATAGATCTAGTTCCCACTCGGGGCTCAGCAGTCTCCGTCTATCTCAGTCCGCTTCTGGCTCTCTGTGTTTCCAGAACGGCTTCTCCACGACCCGTCTGAAAGGTTCGGTGCGGCCCTCTGACACGGAGTCATCCTTCTGCTCCTTCTTCGCGTTCTTCTGCGCGTCTATATTTCCGCTCTTGGCATGCCCTCGTCCCAGGATCTTGTGCCCACTACTGGCCCCTTCTTCGATCTCTTCTTCCGCTTCAATCCCAGCCCCATCTGCGTACGCAGTTCCAGCCGCAACTTGCTTTCGCGTACCACTATTGCTGTTCCTAGCCCACAGCTCCTGCAGAGTGGGGTCTAAACACCAAACAACCACGTCGCCTACCCTCCGCCAATCGTCATGCCACTGGGAATTGAAACCCCTCCAACACTCTGCGTACGCGGAACCCCGGAGCGCAGCCTGCATCGTGGGCTCCAGCTGGGCGAAGAAGACGAGATAATCAGGCCAGGGTTTCCGCCGCCCCGTGCGCGTGGCCCAGAAGGTCTCTTCGCGCTCCTTCGCCAACACCTCGGCGGGGAGGGTGTCGATCTTCTTCTTGTGCCCTGAGGAGCGAGAATGACGATGCTGCTGATGATGGCGCGGGAGCTGTGCGTGCCCTCCCATGGCTCCGTCGTCGGGTTGTTGCGAAGCCAGTGGCATGTGGCGGCTCATGTGCTTCTTGATCCACGTGGCGGGGTTCGCGTAGAACTGGTCCGCCTCGTCCATGTACGTTTGCTTCTGTGTCTGGTTGAGGTCCAGCGGCGGCTCACACGTCAATGCCCAGCCGCGGATGCCTGGCTCGTCGGATGTGGCGGGATATTGTAGGTGAGAGCGCCAGGGCGTGGAGTGGCAGGGCATTAGTGTGCCGATCGTCATGTTGGTTTGCCCGGCGAGGTAGTGGGTTTCGAATTCCCCGCGGAGGTAAGTCGTGAGGGAGATGATGCCTGAGTTGTGGATCTGCGAGGTATAGTATGCGATTGCGACGTTGAGCGCCAAAATGGGCAGTAGGATCGGCCGTCGCCTCAAGGCCGGTTGTGTAGAGGTAGACTGTTGTGATGGGGGAGATAGGAAGAAAGACGATACCGGGAGGGCGGCTATGATGTGCAGGGCCGGGAGGAGCGGGTAGATGAAGCGGACTTCCTTGTGCGAGATGAGCGAGAACGCAGCGGGCACGAGGAGTGATGTCCTTGCGAGCAACCTGAGCGCGATCCGGCCCGCTGGAGTGGCATCTTCGATGGGTCTCTCGTTGCCCGATTGCCACACACGGTACAGTCCGACCAGAGTGAATGGGAGCGCCGTTGTCAGCAGGAGAGGGTACCCCTGCGTCATGTAATAGTGCCAGTCATTGTTCCCATAGAACGAAGCCAACGACTGCAGGACGTTGACGCGCAGGAAGTTGACAGGCGGGAATACCCACGCGTAGTAGAAAATCCGATCGACCACAGCGGAGAGCAGCAAAATCGTGCTTCCACAGATCACCGTCTCGCGCGCGACCATCTTTTTCTCCTCCAGTGGACCATCCCAGTTCCAAACAAATGTATACCAGCTGAGGGTCATCCAGATGAGTACGTTCGTGGGGCGTAGAATCACAGCAACGGCCGCGCAAAGCAGGCTTCTTCTGAGCCTGGTGAGGTCGTCTGTGGACTCTGCTCTGTGGGCCGACTTGTCTCGACTGCGGACAACATGGTCGTCAGGGGGGGCTGTAGTCTCCTCACGGTTGCGAAGTGGTAGTGCCCAGTGCCATGGCCAATTGTACAGAGCGACGATTGTGAGGGTTGTTTCCAGCGAGTTGGAGAAAGTTCTTGTCGAACAGAACCATTGCCACGGACTGGCGACCGTCAGAGCGAGGGCGGTCAGTGCCGCAGGAGACTGGGCGCCGTAGATGCCAGAGGCAAGCTTCCAGGTGTAGAAGTCGCTCAGCGCAGCGAAAAGAGCTTGTAATATCTTGGGCGCAGCAAGAAGAACCTCCGCTCGAGGATGATGCTGCAGCCTGAGGAGCCCGGCGAGCACATCCGCCAGCTGGTAGCATATCCCAAAGATGGCCGGGTGGATGGCTGATCGCAGATGGTGCTTCCACTCCTGTTGTTCTTCATGAGCTTGAGTCCGTCGAGACATTGGAGACTTCGTTTGATCGCACCCAAGTTATCCATGCTCCCGCTTCCTTTCCGAACGCCCATTGCCATGCCGGCTCTAGCGCTTGAAAGTACTCATCCGGCTGGAAGAACGTCTGCACAATCAGGGCATTCACGAGACGAAACGCGAGCAGAAACAGCAGCACACTATGCGACTCCATCTGACGCCACGGTGGCCGCGTCGGTCTCGACAGGGTCGACGTGGCGGCTTTGGCTGTGGTGAGAGAGGCATGCTGTGCGCCATGATTAACGCCACGATCGATGCCAGCAGGCTGTTCTGTCGACATGTCTTCCCAATGGGTCACCGTCGCGACAGCATTAGAACTACAGGAGTCATTGGAAAGCCAGAGAAGGCCGAGACGCGACTTCGATTCTGAGCATCGAGTTTCTCCACTTTCTCAGCCTTAGCGACGAGCAGCTCTGACCAGTGTCAGATTTACAGAGGTGGTTCGAGGACCGCCAGAGACCACAGACAAACAAATTGCGATTCTTCTACTGGGTATTGGCATCTGATGGTACCTTGATAGTTCTACACCCGGCCCTGATCCTGCGCCCATTTGCCCAAATGCTTCCGTCAAAATGATTCCAACACCTGCCTGGTTGGCCGGTCCACACACCACACTTACTCGACAGTCACAGACTTGGCCAAGTTACGCGGGAAATCAACGTTCAGACCTTCGGCGACGGCAAGCCAGTAGGCAATCAACTGCAGAGGGATGACATTCAACAGGCCTTGCAAGAGGTCCACCGTCTGGGGAACTTCGATGAGCTCGGTCTTCGAAGGAGGGAACTCTGGATCGTCCTTGTTGCAGATCACGATGGGCCTACCACCGCGAGCAATGACTGTTATAGTGTTAGAGCACGCACTGAGGAGGGAATCAACTGTTGCTTACCTTGCTGATATGCGTTCAATGACTTGGCGAAGATGTTGTCCCGGGTCAAGATCATGATAATAGGCAAGTTCTCGTCGACGAGCGCCAATACACCATGCTTGAGTTCTCCAGACATGACTGCCTCACAATGCAGATACGAGATCTCTTTGATCTTCAGGGCTCCTTCCAGAGCGGTTGAATATTGGCTGCCACGGCCGAGCAAGAGAAGGGATTTCTGGTTCTGCAAAAATTTGGCGCACATCTCCTTGATCGAGTCGTTGAGCTTGAGGATCTCACGGAATTGATCGCTGACCTTGGCAAGGCCGTCGATGATCTCTGCGCGGCGAGCTGCCTTGGAAGCCCGGTCCTCGCTAAGAGACAGGGCGAACATGATCATCGCCACAAACTGCGATGTGTAGGCTTTCGTGGACGCGACACCGATTTCTGGTCCGGCGTTGATGTGAACACCGCAGTGGGTGAGCATTGAAATGGACGAACCGACCACGTTGACGATACCAACAGTCAACGCGCCACGCTCCAAGCAGTATCGGAGAGCCATCAATGAATCGGCAGTCTCGCCAGACTGTGACACAAACACGCAGGTGTCGTCCCTGAACACCGGCGCCTGTCTGTCGAGGAAATCGGAGGCCAACTCAACCGCGATCGGGATTTCTGTCAGTTCCTCAAAGGCACCACGAACCGCCATGCACGAATGGTAGCTAGTACCGCAGGCAATGAAGATCAGTCTTCTGCATCTTCTGATGGTGCTCATGTATTGTCTGAGACCACCGAGAGTAACAGTCTTGTTGGCTACGTCCAAACGGCCACGCATGGTGTTGACGACCGACTCAGGCTGCTCAAAGATTTCCTTCTGCATGAAATGGTCGAACTTGCCCTTCATGATCTCTTGAAGCTCGAGCTCAATTGTCTGGATTGCGCGGACATTGCTAGTGCCGTCGTCCTTTGTCAATCTGTGGATGTTGAGCTGACCGTCGTGGATATGAGCAATATCATCATCCTCGAGGTAGAGAACCTTCTTGGTGTGTTCGACCAGGGCCGAAGCGTCAGAGGAGAGGAAGAACTCGGCGGGTTGAGGCATGCCATCGTCTGACAGGAATGCTCGTGATTGAGATCGGTGGAGGAGGGACTTATCGGGTGGTGCGAGAAGGCCGCCGGGAGCCAACAATCCATTCGCTGACTTCTTGACTGCAACATTGTGGTTGGCGACCTCAGCAGCCAAAGCACCGCCTTCTTCGCCGTACTCGACGTCCACAAAGTCGACCTTCATCTTCTTGGCCGTCTTGACGCCCACCACCAGGGGAGAACCCTTGCGAGCAGCGATGCATTCGTGGGGGAAGTGGACCGACTTCATAAGCAGGCCAAATGCTCCCTGCAGCTCTTTAATGATGGCCTTCCCGAGGGTGGTGAAGTCGATGTCTGGGTGTTGATCGTAGAGGTATTTGGCGAGCTTTGCAATACATTCGGTATCAGTGTCGGTTTCGAATTTGAAGCCCTTGCCTTCGAGCAAGGCCTTCAATTCTTTGTAGTTTGTGATGATACCGTTGTGGACAATGGCAAACTCCCACTTGGGGTCAGATCTGGTATCAGTCAGTCACAAGTTGCCGGGCGTGTGGACGTCTCGAGCTGACCTGTGCGGATGGCAATTCAGTCTGGATGGCTGGCCGTGGGTGGCCCATCGGGTGTGGGCGATACCGCAGTGAGAGTCGAAAACCTTTGTCATGTCGACACCAGACTGCGCAACCAGCTCGCGGAGTTTGGCCACCTTGCCCACCTCTTTAAATGCAAACACCTCATTCTTCTTGTCGCCATCGATTGCTAGACCGGCCGAGTCGTAACCTCGATACTCCAGACGAGAAAGACCTGGAATGTGGCTGTGAGTGAGCAGTCTTGAGGCGACCGGTGGAGTGGCTCGACATACCATTGAGCAAGGTATCTAGGATGAACTTGCGGTCCTTCTCCACCAAGTAGTTGATGTAGCCGAAGATACCACTGTTCCCCGTCAGCATGTCTGTGCAGAATTCCTACGACGGGACATACGAACCACATTTTGCAGAATATTCAAGCGTGTGTCTGGACTGGTTGTACTCTGCTGGAGAGGCAGCGTAGTGAATGTGAAGAGGCACTGCTCGCCTTGTTTTGTGGGAGTCGTGTTCGTCTCAGTGGACAAAGGAATGAATACAAGGTCCGTGAGAATAAAGGAAGGGAGGGGCTCAGGCAAGATCGAGGTCCGCGTGAGGTTCGGTGAGGATGGAGGACGAATGTGTGTAATATCTCAAGGGAAAGGTGGAGGGGAAGGAGTCAGCTCTACGAGAAGGATATGGCCAGGTGGTGGTTGCGCGGGTACAGTAAGTTCGTCGCTGTTTACTTATTGCTGACGGTCGGGCTGAAATAATTCGAGCCTCGACTGAACAAAGCTGCAGGTCTCGGACATTGGCCATGCAGCAGAGGCGCATATGGACTGCCCCTAAAGACGCAACGTTCAGGGTCTTGCCGCTACGAGCTACGGCCTCGCATAGCAATCCACTTGATAAGCCTGGTCAGCCCCGTCGGCAGGCTTCTATCGCTGCATAGCAACGCCTGACATTCGAGCTTGGCAGGAACACTTGCGGAAAGGAGGAAACAGCGTGCTTCCAGTCCGAATCAGAGAGCTATCCCCAAGGCTTTAAGCGGGGCCTTGCAGGCTGCGCGGGCTCCGATCTCCAGCGCGGACTCCCAATCATCGAGCCATCTCCCAGTGGTAGCGCCTAATGTTCGAGGTGTTGTCGCTGGTGGTGAAACAGAGCGGTGTTGCGCTCCACACCGTTGTGCCACAGTCGTGTTCACAGTACTGTACGAGGACAGAGTAGCCACACCAGGCATCTTACGACGGGCTGCCAGTCAATTTCGTGTGCACAGTCAAGATCACCGTCTGCTCAGGTCATGTGTACGAGCATCCGCTCATCATGCCTTAGTACTGAGCGAGCCGGTGGAGGCAACCGAAGTTCACGTTATTACCAAAGGAGCTCCATCGCCAACGCAAGTGCCACCTGTGTCCTAGCTCGTACCAAAGGCATCGCAACGTGTCCACCAGTGCCAGTGGGCGACTCAGTGGCGAAGTCCAAAAATACGGACTTCGTCAGCTCCCCCTGTCTAGGGTTGTGAGACGTCACCACCATTCCCCCTCTCCCGCTTCCTGAAACCGCTTAGCCCCCAAGATCTCGGTGCCCTGTTTCAGCGAGCGGATCAACTTCCATTCTGTGTTAGCGCACAGCGTTGTCCTACGAGCGCACCACAGCCTTTGGCCATCAGCCACTTTGGAATAGGGGCTACGAGTCAATGGTCCATTGGCCCTCCACGCCCCGCGACTCGTATACCTCTTCGCGACATATTCTATTCTCGTCGAGCATAACTAATCATTCGGTTTTATGCTACGCGTACCTAGGCTGCGGTACGTTATGAACCACCACCCATGGTTTTGACCATGTTTGCAAAAAGTTCCTGTCGCTTGGTCTCGAAGGCTTCGAATGCTTGTTCGGCTGTCCCGACCGGGACTTGCTCCTTACCACTTGCAAGTCCGGCATACGCCTGGGGTGCTAGATCAGCAGGACGAAAGCCTTGCTGGAGGGTAAAGAACATACCTTGTCGATAAATTCATCAAGGGGCATCCCGATCTGTCGACCATTCTTGATATCGGGTTGGTGCTTCTCATCGTGGAGTTCTGTCTGGACGGCTGGAGGATACAGCTCGACCACTTTGATATTCGACCCCTTCAGTTGTTCACGAAGACACAGCACAAAACTATGGGCTGCCGCTTTCGAAGATGAGTAGTTGGCTGCTCGGGTTAAGGGAACCATGGCCAGTCCAGAGGTGACATAAATCAAAGCGCTCTCTTTGCCTGCTTTGCCCTTTTTTTGGAACAAGGGAAGGAAAGCCTTGGTCAGCGCTAGATGAGAAATGTAGTTGGTTGTCATTTCAAGGATGAGGGTGTCGACATCTATCGAGTCAGGGTCGCTGAAGTCCGTCTTTCTCTGAATGCCCGAGTTGAAGAGGATGCAGTCGACATCTGGGTGAGTACTGGTGACGTTCTCGGCAAAGTGCGGGATGGATTCGAGCTTGGTGATATCGAAAGGTACGGCTTGGATCTTCTCATGGCCGTAATCCTCCACCAACTTCTGCAGGTTCTCTTTACGACGAGCCACGGCGACCACAAACGAACCATCATCGACGAGTCTCCTGGCAAGAGCCTCACCAATGCCTGCACTGTCAGCTTTTGGGTGTAGGTAAATGCGAATCATCATCCATACCGCTGCTGGCCCCAATCACAACAACTTTCTTGTACGGGAATGGCATATTGGCTAGTCAACGAAAAGCAGTCTGCAAGCAGGTGTATCTGATGAATCTCGTTCGTTGAAGATCACTATGATCAGGAGAGGGAAGTCACACACAGAAGCCAGTGGGCGCAGCTCCCTATAACACTCACCTGGTCCCGGTGCGCCAGATATATTGACATCATTACACGCACCAATTGGAAAATTGCAAGTGAAATCCATGATGCGCCTTGGGCGCAACTGCCGAAATGGCTTACCTACCGGTGGAACAGGGCAAACCTTGAAAGAATTGCGATCAAAAAATCTTCCCACTACGTCCTATGGCAGTCATGTATATGTACAACAGCCTTGGGACGTCTTGACTCGGTCATGAGTTTCCATCCTACTAGGAAGGTCACGTGGCGGCCGTTGTCCGGGCGCAGGCCAGTACTACCAGGGACCCTATTCAAGGCCAAATATGTGCGGTGGAAGCTCCTTTTAGAGTGGTGCGGCATAGACCGCGATGTCGCAACGGTAGAGCGACAGCTTGAACCTTCGGTCAAGATCCGGTTGACCTAAACGACTCGGAACTGAGTAGGCAAGGAAGGAGTGATGCAGGTGCACTAGGGATATCATATAGGCCAGGCTCGCGGGACAAGTCTCGTGTCTGCTGCCTGGGCATACTGGGGTACTGCTCATGACCAATGCATTGTTATTGTGGTGCGCCACAGAAACTGTCGGGTTTGGAATGTGTTTGCTGTTGGCGAGAATGTTCAGCGCAGGCACGACATCTCAGCTGCGCTTTTTTCCAGTTTCGCTTCACACTGAAGGTGTCGATCGGCGTGCCGAGCCTCTAAACCCAATGCGGACTGGCGTCTCCTTGAACTTCGCTCACAGTGCAGACGCTTGCTTGCAAGTTCCAGTGCAAGGTGCAGGCACAGGCGCTACAACCCTCACGAACGCCTGAATTGTGTTTCTCTTCCGTTGCCATCCCAGACACTGTCACTCTCGCTTCGCCTCGAAACGCCTCTCTGCCAACGACTGGGAGACCTTCCACTGCACCCAACGCCGATCCGTCGACTGCGCCATCTGGCCAAACCGGCCCCCTTCCGACTTGAGCCCACTGACGCGTTGAAACTTCCAGCCCACATCACGGTCAACACCACCCCTGCGCTGCATGCCTACACACTTCCATACTCTCACCGACATATTGAGGAGGGTGCTTGAGAAGATGAGCGCGCAGCTGGCGTCATAACCGAGGACATGTCGCGCCCGCAGGGCACTTCCTCTCATTCCAAACTCGCTGATTTCTTTCCTACCGCCCCCAGCGTCATCCAGCAGCGAAAATCCTCAAAGCTGCCTGACCTCGACAAACCCAGATTGCGCCGTCCTGATGAGCGCGCCGAAGATGTCAATGCCAAAGAGAACCATCTTCGGCACGCGCTGAACTCGTCGTCAACCACACCGCATCCGCCGTCACCCGCGAAACAGCACCAACCGGCAAAGATCGAGGACGCCGACCACTATCCGGGCGACCTTCTCAATGGTGTTGGCTCCGCGAGCTCGTCCAGCACCGCTTCATCGGTCTTCAGTGCAGCTCTCGCAAATGCGGCCATGCCGGGCGCAAATCAACTCAATCTCAGCACTCTGACCCCCCTCACAAGCTCCGACTCTCCTCCAAATGGTAAACTCATAAGTCCAACTGGTGATTCTGGCTCTCACACTGCAATGGATAGCAGCAAACCTGCCTCCTGCCTGCATCAAGGTTCTATGACCCCTCTTCATACTCCTCCTACCCATCGACGAACCGCCCGTGACTGCAATTCCGATGTCAAAGGGACCAAATGCACCTACGATCCGGAACTGGACAAGACCCTCAATTCCAAAGACAAGCGCAAGCTGAAGCCTCAGTTCCTAGACTTTGGTGCAAAGCCCGAAGATAACTTCCAGCCACCAGACCCTCGGTTATCCATCCCAAATTATACAAAAGCTGTGGTGGGAAAAGGCAAAGCAAAATTCCGACCTGCCCCATACAATCTGAAATCATGGGTTCCAGATGCTGCGACTGCGGTTGCGCCGCCTCCGGCCACGACCGTCGTGGTCACTGGCTTTGACCCTATGGCCCCTCTTTCGCAGATCAACGCGTTGTTTTCGAGCTTCGGTGAGATAGAAGATTTGGACAACAAGACAGACCCCGTCACCGGGAGGTTTCTGGGCATCTGCAGCATAGCATATCGAGACTGCGCCTCCTTTCAGGGCGGAGGACCTATATCCGCCGTCCTCGCTGCCAAGACAGCATACCTGGAGGGGAAACGCGGGCAAAGGATAGGCCTCAAGACGGTCCAGATCGTGATCGATAGGGATGGTTCAGTCACGGAGAGGATGGTGGAAAAGGCGATTGCGCTGCATCGGAAAGAGAGTGGCTTTACAAATCAGTCGCGCATACAGCCTTCCCCTTCCCCAGCACCGACACCAGTCACAGTGCCATCGCCTGCTGGCTTCGCGAAATCTACGGGACCGCCACCTACTGCACCGAAAGGCCCTTCAGGCAAGCCTTCCCTACGACCACAGTCCACGTTTTCGAGCGCATTCCCCATCCCTGCGAAACCAGAAAGGCCTAGCAAGTTGGTTGCGCCTTCTGCGGTGGGTACGGCGACCGCAACATCCGCTGCCACCCTGGTCGAGACTACGCCTATCGCCGAGACGCTGAAAGTACCCTACATCTTCATTGCGCATTGTTATGTACCTGTCATGACAACTACCATACCGCATCTGAAAAAGAGATTAAGGATGTACGACTGGCGGGAAGTCCGATGCGACGAAACCGGCTACTTCATCACCTTTGAACAATCACGCAATGGACAAATGGAGGCAAAGAAAGTCTTCCACGGCTGTCACATGCAGCCGCTGTTTACCTATGTGATGAATCTGGAACTCCATCTGAATGGCAACCACAAAGCAATCAGCGCGACGGACCCTGCGCCTCTGCCCACATCGGTCACACCGACCGGGCCAGTGGATTTTGTGTATTCGAAACAGGCCTATAGATTGAGAAAAGAGCACGATCTTGATCTTGAGGAAGAAAAACGACAACGCGCCAGAGATCTGGATCCCTCAAGAGCTGTGGTGCAACTTGTTATCCAGGAGTTAAGGGATAAGCTGCTTGAAGATGTCAAAACACGGATTGCTGCTCCCATTCTGTACAATTACCTGGATCCTGGCAGGCATGCCGAGAGGCGGAAGGCGCTTGGTCTAGATGACCCTGAGGGCACGCGGAGACCAGCCTATGGCACTGAAGGCTCTCAGACACCAGACTCGCGCGTTGGCATCGGCCGACGACCCCTTGGAAGTAAGAATCTTAACATTCTTTCTTTGCCAAAAATTGGCAAGAGGCCAGGTGCTGGTGGTTTGATTGGATATCGTGATGAGGGAAAGAAAGCTCCTCCGAGGCAAAATGTCAGGTCCCTGTTCCATCAGCTATCTCAGTTCCACGACGAGGAAGATTCGGAGGACGAGCGCCGGACGTCTGTTACTCGAGATACCGAAGATCTTGAAAGCCGCCCTCCGAGCCGCATGAGTATGACCTCCGTATCCGACGATGATGATGAGCTTTTGCGCAAGGCGACCAAACGTCGACTCCATGCTCGAGAAGAATCGGAAATGGGCGACAGCGTGATTAAGGATGAAGTTGACACGTCAAGACAAACTGCAGAAGATCTCATCATTGCCAAGCTGGAGCGGAACATATATGAAATGTCTCCTTCCTCCAGAAAGCGGAAGAGACTGGTGAAAGAGCTTGAAGCTCGAAAACGCCAGAAGGCCGATGACGAATTGTTTGGCGTGGCTCAGAACGAATTCGAGCGCGAGCAGTCCGAGGATGTCAAGGTCGAGACTCCTATCGAAGCCACGCCGGACGCTGAGTCAGATGCTACCAAGGTCAAGAAGCCGAAGCCCAAGAAGAAAACCAAGAAGCAGATTCGGGAAGAGCAAGAAGCACTCCGGCAGGCACAGGCCGAAGCTGAAGCCGCTGAGGTGGTGGACAATGTCCTGGAATTTGCTGAGGAGGAAGAGGCCCTTGCCGAAGCGGCGGAATGGCGGCCAGAAGTGGAATGGGGCGTATCAGCTGAAGAACCTCTGCCTACTGTGGATGACGATGAAGATATCGTCCCTGACCTTCGGGGTTGGCAAGCCAGTCTTTTCGACGCGGAAGACCTCGAGTATCTGGCAGCCGCCATGAAATCGATGAAGGCTATGGACATTGGTGATCCAATGGCATGGGCCTGGAAACAGGAGCGCATACGTAATCTGAGGTCTGGAGCTCAACCGGGAGCTCTTAGGACGGACCCTGCTATTGATGGTTACTATGTTCCCAACCAATCGGGCTCGGCAAGGACGGAGCCTATCAAGAAGATTCTGGAGTCTGAGAAGTCGAAATACCTGCCTCATCGCATCAAAGTTCAGAAAGCAAGGGAGAAAAGAGAGGCCGAAGCGAAGAAGGACCCTGGCAAGGCACCTGTGGTGGAACTGCCCAAAGCTTCCTCCCGGGGCAAACGTGCCGACGATCGACGGACGGTCAAAGATCTGGACCGGCAGCGCGAGATGTTGCAAAGTATAGGTGAAGACGCCGATGTTCTGCGCTTCAATCAACTCCAGAAGCGCAAGAAACCAGTCAAGTTCGCCCGATCTGCCATTCACAACTGGGGACTCTACTCTCTCGAACGCATTCAGGCCAGCGAGATGATCATCGAGTACGTCGGGGAGAAGATTCGACAAGAAATCGCCGATCTGCGCGAGATCAAGTACACCGAAAGCGGCATCGGTAGCAGTTATCTCTTCCGAATCGATGAAGGAACTGTTGTAGATGCAACCAAGAAGGGTGGTATTGCAAGGTTTATCAACCACAGCTGTTCGCCTAATTGCACGGCCAAAATCATTCGGGTCGGTGGCACGAAACGAATTGTCATTTACGCTCTGAGAGATATCGAGAAAGGTGAGGTTCAGCATTGGGCACATGAGAGAAAGGAGACTAACAAGAGTTGCAGATGAAGAACTGACGTACGACTATAAATTCGAGCGTGAGATTGGCAGTGACGACCGTATCCCCTGTCTCTGTGGCTCGACCGTCTGCAAAGGCTTCCTCAATTGACGAACAGGGGTCCAAGTATCCGTGGCGTTTTCTTCAGTTCCTCGTGTTCCTAGCATTGCGAAGGCATGTGGAAGGACTCTGGGTTAGGCGTTCTTGCTTCGCAGCATGATGGAGGTTGGCATGAACATTTAACAAAAGCACGCTTCGCACTGGGCAAGTCCGAAGGACAGAGGGTCAGCACCAGCGAATGGGCGCCGATGGTCGAAATGACGGCGGTGAACTTAATGGGGTTTTACTCAACTCAGGTACCCGAGCATTACGGACAGGGAAGGGATTTGACGCCGATTGACGAACGCTGGGGGCGGCCATGTTTCTCTATTGTATAATCCGGCCAGTTTACGGCGACGGCAACGGTCACGGCAATGGCACAGCCCAGCGCTTTGTGTGCAGGCTTCCTGGTGAAGTCTCTTGCGTTGCCAACGGGCGCTTCGTGAGGCAACGTTGCTCAGCGTGCTTGCGCGTACATAGATAGTTATCATGTCCCTACCAGATCTAGGTGGTATTTGGACGAGCACTCCCTTTTCCTCCTTCCTCGCCGGTCAAATCTGGTACAGCAGAGGAGATTCCTTGCTAACGACCTTGGTTCTCCCTCCATGTGCATTCATCAACGCTTTGCTGATCTCGGCCACGATCCGTTCTCATGTCATTAGGTCTTTGAGCGAAAGAGGCTCGCCCAGCACCAAACCTTCTCAGTCTCCAGCTACCTCAAGCTACCGGGTACATGCTTTTGTCCGGCGATGCTCAATGTCATCTAATCAAGCAGTACTTGGCCCTGGATTAGTTCTTTGACGATCGTGGCGCCAACGGGCGAGAGCCCTACTGCTCCGTAGTCTCTTCCCAAGCATGACTGCCACGCAGACCGAGCGTCGGCCAATGCCCACGTAGGCATCTTGTCCCATTTGTTCTGTTGACCATAGGTCGTGAGGTTGAGTCTTTGTGTCATTTCTTCGCTTGTGCGTCCATTTGTTCATCCTGAATATGAGTTCCTCTCCTGAAGCGTCGCCTTCCTTCTCACACCAAATGTGCGGGTAACAGGAAGTTGGCCACCCCTTCCTTGATAGGGTATTCGAACCCGCAGTTCCCGCAGACGAGTTTCCCTTCCACAACGCCCGTCTCCAGTAGCAGAGCGTGCAGCTTCCTCAATACTTCTTCGTCGACCTCTTTCTGGGCCATCTCGACGTCCATCCCCTCGGCTTGTTCCGCATTGGTGTCGTCAAGTGGGTTGCGATCGGGGAGCATACTCCCGACACCTAGTTCGGCGGCTGTCGTGGTCAACGCTTCCCAGTTCACGCGTGGTAGGATGTTGCGTATGAATAGGGGGTTGAAATCTATGTCGGTGCGTTCTAGGATGGCGTCGCGGAAATGTAAAGGGAAGGAGGCGGACGAGGACTTGCAGGCTTTGACGGCGCAGGTGAGGAAGTTTGTTGTTAAGAGTTTCATTTTGGGTTTCCTAAGCTGCGGTCAATTGATATGGTGGTATGTCGTTCCACGCGGTAGATGAGAAGTGTTGTTGAGTTGTTCTTGCACAGGTGGAAGGTGGCAGAGGAAAGTTTTCTTCAAAGATGGACGTTCACTCCATCTTGGTCCTCATCTTTCGAAAGTTCGACATGCCAAGATTTCTGCATTCACAGATCCAGATAGATTGAGTTGCAGCACGCTCTACGGCGTACAGGACCCGTCGGCCTGAGATACAACTTTGCGATGCTCCGTACAATCACTACATATCCTGTCGTGATGTGACAACGAGCCGACGCCTGACAGCCACGGCACGGCTACATAAATCGACTCGAACAGCGTAAAGACAGACCTAACCGGAGACCACGACCCGCAGCAGTCTCATGTCTGCCAAACAGCGAAGGGGTCATCGAGCTTTTCTACGACACCGTTTGATCGGAATATAGTCTATCTAAAAAGAAATGTCTGGCACGCAGGTGACTTCTCATCCACAGCAGGACTCTCCGAAGAGACACCTGCATTGAAAGTGAAGTCTAAAAAGTGCCTCGTTGCAATCGGTCTAGATCGCCAATATGACCTACCAGCCCATGGTTGCAGAGCAAGGAATTGGCGGTTGATTAATGCGTTCATATCATGTTTTTCATGAAGTGTGAAGAAAGAGAAGGAATGAAAATGTGACCGGAGCGTGAGAGGATGAGGAGGTTTTGATGGGGAAGGAACTCGCGAGGTTTTGCCGAAACCAAGCTAGGATGGATGCGGAATGGTGTGAGCGGCGGGCTTGGCAAGGCGAAACATCGTCAATCTTCGAATTTCCGTTTTGATTTCTGCGTCCTGGTTAATTATTCCTGCAAGCACTCCTACCACTGGCAAGCTGTCCTCCAGACATGACTCACCCCTGCAAAACACGCGCATTCTGCATCTGCTGACATGAATCAAAGAAGCTGTTTGTAGGGTATCCGTTATTGTCAAATATATCTTCGCGGATTGGCTGCAACCAGGAGCTGAGAAAGTCGCGCTATTGCCTGCTCAAGCTGACTTTTTCGTTCTCACAATGCATATGTCGCTTCTTCGACGCGAGTCGAAGACCGTGGAGCAGCAACTTCTTTGACCATCAGTAACACTGCTGGATACATCCATACATGATGGTTAACAACGCACTCCCAATACCATCCAACCACACTTGGAAGCATCTTGACCCTTCATCTCCATGGACAAGACGTGGATCCAGGGGCAACTGTCCAGGTCGCCCAACAACGCAAGTGGTAGAGCGATATTTGGCTTTTAGCAGGGCCTTGTCTACTCCACCCTGTTTCCTCTGGCTCTGGTGAAGAAGCAGGACTATTTATATGACAGACATTTTGATACCACTTGTTTGTTGTGTAGACAATAGAGGAGCGTGAAGCAGGTATCGTCGTTCGAAGACATAATCCCCTGAGCATGCGCGTCACCATGGCATTTCGAACCATCTGACGAGGATATGATAGGCGATGACCACGTGCGAGGTACAAAGACTACGAATAGGGCGAAGGGCATTCGGGTACAACTTTCTTACCACTGGATGGCTTCAGGCTCTTTATTTTCCGAGCCTCGTCGGCCAGCTTGGTTCCTCTCCCTGTTATCCCCATCCGGCTTCGGACTCGAATATTTCACACCACCACTCATGCTTACCTTGTCTAAGTCTTTCAACTCTCTTTCTCTTCTGGGAACGCTTCTTACAGCTCTAGTAGGCCATGCACCAGACTGCCGGCTTTATCACGGTAAGGTCTCAGGACGATCTGCAGTCACCTTGATGCCTCCCTTTCACCTATCAACACCCAGCTTCATCGCCTCCAATGCCCGCACTATTGGGAACATGTGGGAACGGCAATGACAATGGCAACTGGAGGCTTCTTGACTTCGACAAAGTGTTGGAATGAGCTAAAACTCCTCGAATGCGCGCAGCCTCGAAGCGTAAGGCTGGCACCCTCACCTAGTCTAATTCATGGGAGTTGGTGTCACGTGCTAAAAGGTTCGTGGTGCAATGCTTGCAGAAAGCGAGGGATGGGACATAATAGTTAGATGCCCGCCATTGAGCTATAGCCTGTCTTCAGTAGAAGTGCCCTGCCTCACTCTATCGAGATACACGCGAAGCGCTCTGGCGGTGTTCGCGCCCAGCCGAACCTGCAACGAGGAGTCGAGCACCCAGCGGCCCCTTTGCCCATCCCGTTTGCCGGGACGTTTTGCTATCTGTTAATTGAAGTGCTGCCCAAGGGGTTTTGTACTGTCTGCCCCCGTCCTACCCATTCCATTTATTGTAGCTTGCTGGTTGTTCGACACTCCAGAGGGGGCGTGTAAACAGGGATCGTGGGCATTTTGGTCCGCTTCCAGCCCATGCAAGCCCTTGCTCCGGCCCTAAAGCGCATCGAAACCTTGTGTCCACGACTCCCAGTGGCATGAGGCTGGAGGAGAATGCCAGTACGGCCTGACAGCGTGAAAACCTTGGATTTGTCACCTTTCGCATAGGCATGATGGCTTTTCCGTTATTGACATCTTCCCTCGCCAGGATTGTCCCCGAAGGTAGTCCCCGAGCCGAAGCAATACCCTGGAAATCGAGCCAAAGTCACATGTCCTGGCTAGAGAGTCGACCTTCAGCGGTGCAGTATCAGGTGGTCACGAATCCTGCACGCGGTCTAATATGAACTTGTGTTGATGTTCAAGTGCATCGTATGTGATCCTCAGTCAACCTCCCTGCCAGTGTGGGTTTGAGGCCTGATGCAAAGCGCCTACACCGCTGTGGAAGTGACTTGTGTACCTAAGATCGGTCATTGCCAATTGCGCCGCTTACTTAGAACGCAGAGAACCTCCGACACCCGTCCCAGGCTCAGATGACCGCGGAGCCTGCACCAGCATGACGTGTCTCGCCCATTGCACTGCTTGCTCGTGAGGCTTGGAAGCTCCCCTGGTGCTGCCCAGGCAATACCATACAGCTGCCCTCTCTCCTTCTCCCAGCTCCAGGAGCCCTCATCTCGCCCATCGCATTGACTATAAAGCTTGCGTCTCCTGCTTCCTCTTCGAGTTCTCCTTCTTCTTCTCTTTTGTATCTTAACCTTGGGTGCGAAGTACCTCAATCCTTCAATCCCCGTGTTCACAAGACTCTGTTGTTGTGGACATATATCCCATCTCCCCATGGCGTTCAATGCGACAGCCATGCCCGAGCTTTGTGAGTTAGCAATTGCTTTTCACTTCCTTGTCGTCCACTCCCATTCTTGATGATGCAGTTTGTGCTTCTTCGGCACCGTCGTCTGCCGATGCCCGTGTCTCTCAGCGGCGCCCGAGACCCCAGCTCAGCTCGACTATCCGATGCAACACTATTTGGCCGGTCCCCTCGCAATGAACCGTACGTACCTGGTGCAGGACGCCGCAGCCACCTCGCGGATCTTATCGCCACACTTGACATTTATTTGACCGCACTGTCGGGTGAGTCTGCCGGCGGTTCTGTCACATCCGCGAGGTTGTAAGCCACAGCAGGTGGACTGAACAGGGTATGTCGCATTTCTCTTTCCACCCTCCAGTATTCATTCGCAATTATTCTCGCCATCGGGACACTGATGTTCCTGGAGCCAAGGCACATCCCAGAAGTGTGGTGGACAGCGTTTGTGGTGGGCATTCTCAACCATCATCCCACCACAACGATGGAAAAGCCTTCCCAACACACTTTTTCACACTGCACCCGATCGCGCGGACGATTGTGGGCAAAACTCATTCTCCATCACTTAGTAGGAACTAGTGCATTGTGAATATCTTCATGGTACACTAGAATTTCGACGATGTCGAAATCAACAAATGGGTCGATGGTCGGGGTGTTGGGACGCGTGGGAGAGGGAGCTTGGTCTGCGATGCGTGCGGAGTGCCACCTGCCCAGCAGCCACTCGTGCCACTTTGGAACTCCTCACGCCAAGTATCCGAGCCGTCACGTGATGAGAGTCCTGGTGTTGCACTGAATTTTAGTGGCGGCACCGCTTTATGGTATTGACGAGTTTCCTATGAACAAAGTGAATTTGAATGAGTGCGATGGCAACTTTTGCTTTCAGGGCCTTTTAGTGGGAGTTGGTGGATGATTATGATGACAGCAGTTCGATCCTTTATGACGAGTTCGCCTTGCATGAGAAAACGATTATAAGTGTGCGGACGCCAGTCAAGGCCTGTACGTGGAGTGAGCACGATCTGACCAATCCGATAGCGACGTTGTATCAGCCTCGCGGAGTTTTAAGTTATTCCGCGCCGTAAGGAGTCCTCCTCCTGATGATCAAGCTACGGGACCAATCAAGTCAGCAGCTTATTTTTACACTCATCATGTTTGCCACTGCAGACTCACTATACTGTATTAGGTGAAGCACATTTCAATGGGCATTGCCTCGTACACGACCCCTCGGGAGACTAGGAAGTATCTTGTCACACCCAGCCGTCTGCTATACCCTGCTTGCGTTGTATCACCTACACCCCTCTTAGAGCATTGTGACTGGAGACCTGACCCTTACCGGTTAGTCGAAAGGAGCAGCGCTGACATCCTTATGGGTACTTAATTTGCAGACGCGCTTAAGGCTCTCCGTACATCGTCGGATATCAGATCCCTAGCTGCACCAATCGGAGGACTTTCGAGGCAGGATGGTCGATCCCCCGCAAGGGCCTTCCTTTTCAAGGGCCTTGGTGCAATCTTGGCAACTTAACCGACGGCCTCGGCTGTCATATCTCAAAGAGTTGTCCTATCACTCTCACATGCAACGAGAACCATAATTACCTCAATACCTTATGAATACTCACTTCATCCGCCATGGTGCGATAATATGCAAGCATAACGTCTGAGCATCCGTGTATTCGGTCGACTATCCTGTCCTTCTTTTCGGCCCCCGTTGACGAGCTTGAGCCGTTACGCTATGCACCAATATTGGACCAGTGCGATCGTGTCTTGCCGTGACAAACGCGCTGTTGATCTCGTCGTGGAAGAA